TATTTCTGTTGATGCTCATATTTGCAATTTAATCAGCATCTGTGTCTGCCTATGTGAGACCAAAAGCATCACTTTTTAGGTTGACATATGTTTCCCTTTTTCCTGTTTTGTATTCTCGAGTTGTAACTTTTCTATGTAATGCAGGTTGTTTGCTATTGGATTGTGCTCGTTATACATGTGCTTTCTGTATGGCCTTTCAGTTCCAACTTGGGAATATGAAGCTCCGAGCATGAATTTGTCTGGTTTTGCTTCTGGTACTCAAATTGTGAGTTAAATTATTTATTCTCTGCATTACTAATTGCTGAGGTTATTAAGTATTGGTGCATGACTGAATTTGGCTGGTCCTTGCTACAAGATTTCACCACTTCTATACATGTATTTCCCCTTTGGTTGTCTGGAACTAAATTGAAACATAATATTTACTTAATAGGTTTATTGTGGAGTGAGGGGTAGTCTTGAACCTCCTTGCAATGCTGTTGGTTTTATTGACCGAGTTATTCTGGGTGAGCATCACCTTTATCAACATCCTGTTTACAGAAGAACAAAGGTCATTCTACTGGGCCTTCTTTGGTAACTGTATTATTGAATCTACCAAGGTTTGAACCCTGTATTAGTGCATTTTATTGTTGATAATTGAAAGATGTTAACCCTGTGTATCAGGAATGCAGCGTAAAGTCTCCTGACTATGGACCTCTACCACCTAATTCTCCCCAGTGGTGCCTTGCACCATTTGACCCAGAGGGAATCCTAAGGTTAATTTCTGCAGTCCCTTCTATCTCTTGGCTTTTGCTACTGATCTTCACTGCCCATTTCTCTCTCTCTCTCTCTCACACACACACACACACACACACTCTGTAAATGCTAGAGAAGGTGATTGTATGTTCTTGTTAATGATTATTTAGAATTGATCTTTCATTTTTTCTTATATAATAAATTTCCAGTTCTCTGATGGCTGCTGTTACTTGTTTTGTGGGATTGCATTTTGGGCACATACTACTGCATTTTAAGGTGTGATGTTTCTTGTTGCTGTATAACACTTACCTTTTGTGAGCTAATTGTGTCTACTTTTGAAATTATGTATTAGTTGTCTGGATTTGTCTCTTTAATGGAATTGTTTTTCTGACATGGATCCTTTCTCTCGTAGGACCAAAAACAGAGGGTGCTGTTATGGTCCATGTCTGCTGTTCCTCTTCTACTATTCGGATATGTTTTAGTAATACTTGGTATTCTCTTCATTATAGTTATCTTTTTCATTCTTTTGTTTTGGTAAGGAGTTCCATTCTGTTTCCTCTGACTAATGGCAAGGTGTATCAGGTATTCCTTCCTGTAAACCTCTGTATACAGTGAGCTATGCATGCATTACAGCAGGAGTTTCAGGCTTGATCTTAAGTATTATATTCTACATCGTAAGTTCGTATTTCTCCGTCCAACTCCTGATTAAATTCTACTCCACATGAAACATGAAAGGGTGAAAATAATCTCACCATCACACCTCTAATACAGAGGTGATACACAGTATGGTCAGTTAAGAGAGTACAAATAGCAGTACACAACATGAAATTTGTTCCCCACCCTTAGTCTGACAATAACAAATAAGGAAAAAGGAGTGCTTGTCTTTTAGAGTTGCATATTCCTACGTTAAAATATCACCTTTCCCTAGGTGAGTTGATGGCTGGAAACACGTGCACATCTCTATATTTTACTGCTTTCAAAATGATGTTAGCATTGTGAAAATGAAAATGTGGTTGGAGTCAAATGAAACGTGATTATTTGTGGTTAATATTAACATATGGAAACTCGAATGGATTTACTGAATTTGGTTTGTGATACACAATTTTGGGAGCGGGCTTTAGTATTGACATGGTTGCAGACGTTTGATTGATTGTGCTTGACATGCATAAAGATCCTTATGATGCAAAGCTTGGCATAAATTTGAATGATACTTTTGGAGGAAGAAGACACATTGCAGAATGCATTCAAAGATTAATGTGCTTTAGTTAAACTTCATCTAAATGCAGGTTGATGTGAAACATTTCAGAAAGCCCACAGTATTGCTACAGTGGATGGGAATGAATGCACTCCTTATATATGCTTTGGGTGCTTGTGACCTTTTCTCGGCAGGTTTGCAAGGTTTCTATTGGCGCTCTCCAGAGAACAACCTGGTAATCTTATCTTTCTTGTATGATGGAAAAAAGAAGAGAAGAAACCTCAAAATTTTCCTTTGCTGTAATCTTTTAGTGTAAACTCATGGAGTTGGACTTGTTGGTTTGTTGGATGGTTTGTCAAAATGGCTAGTTTCATACTAAATACTTTGGACTAAAATGTGACATGCAGGTTGATGGCACAGAAGCATTATTGCAGGCCATGCTCCACTCAAAGAATTGGGGTACCCTAGCGTTTGTAATACTTGAGATTTTATTTTGGGGTCTTGTTTCTGGGTTTCTTCACATGAAAAGCTTGTATATAAGACTTTAAAAAGATTCTAGTGCCCCCCTGTAGTAACAAAATTTTAGCTTTTACATGATTACGAGTCACTTGTGTTTTGTGCCAGGTATATATAAAATTTATCTGTTGTTTTTGAAAGTTTTAAGACTGATGTCCTATCGTTTTTTTGTTTTTTTTTTCAAATCAGAAATCTGCTGTTAGTCCCTAAAGTATTTTTGTTTTCTGCTAATAAATTGTGTAACGAAATTGCCCTCATGCCCAGAAGTTGTAATCACTGCTTCAATATAGCTAGGTTCGAGGGGCATAGTCACCAAGTGCAAGCGATCCAAGCCCTCCTCTTAGCTTAGTGCAGTGGCTACTGACTCAAAGGTTATCAAATCTTCCTACACTTACTGACTTTTTTTGGGTTGGTCTAAAATGATTGTGGGATGGAGACTTAACATTGTTATTTGTAGAATAAGCCATCCTACCATCGATTAATTTCCTTTTGTTTGACAAGATAACATCTTTCTTTCTCTTGGTATTCATTGATTTGTGGGCAACAGAAAATGAAATCTAGTGCAAAAGTTGGAGACAGTTCACGTGGCTTCAACTTCTTACCCTCCATTTCTTTTAAGTTTATCGAAATGACCTTGTTCATCATTTGTCAAGAAATATCAAATTCTAGAAAAGACCTTGTTCGGTTCTGGAAAAAGCAGATGCCTCGGGGAAAGTGATAGGAGAAACAAATAGGGCCTTAGATAATTAAGGCCCTCACCTCACTCACCTCACTATAGAATTCTAGCAGGCTTCTTCACCATCCTTGACAAGTTGACAAGCATGGCCCAATGACGATATAAAGTCATCCGACATGAAACTGAGCCCTTTTGGGATAGAAAGATAAAGAGAAACTAAGGGGTCATCTCTATCTTTGCAAAAGCTCCCAATCAAGAAAAAGAAATTATTAGGATAATGTATGTAGATTAAAGGAGTTGGCATACAGCTAGCCAGGTGCTTTGGTATAATTTCTTCCTTCTTTTGAAAGATATAATATAATTTAACTTGCTAGTTGGTGAAAGAGTTTAGTAACAATGAGAGAGAATAAAATGGTTCCCTTCGGGCCACGACGACACAACAACTTTACCCCAAATCAAGATTCTTGAGGTAAATTAAATTAGAGAGTGTTAATGACGTAATTAATTAAAGAATCTTCTTTGTCGAATTTCCAAACCAAAAGCTTCAATGTATATAAAGTTAGGGCTGTCTATCTGGCTTAATAACATAGTGAGGTGGATATGAGCAGTGAAAATGAAAACGCAAGTTGTGAGGTTTTAGAGAGAGAAAATGGAAGAACAAGTAGAAGAGATGACATTTCCAGTTTCGGAAAAGCACTTGCATCGAGAGCCATTTATGGTTCAAGCAGCAGCAGCAACCGCCGCACTGGAAGCAGCAGGGAAGCCAGAACACAACCCAGTAGGCTAAGTAAGGTTTCCTTGGCTGACGATCCCAATATTAATTCACAATGACAATTTGGTAATAAGACAATATTAGTTTCTGTGTCTTGTAATATGTATATTTCGAAAGTTTGATTTATCATCACCAGGAAAGGGTTGGATAGTATTTATTTGGGTGGTTTTATTGCCATATTTGACAAATTGTAATTCTACATGATTACCATTGCCAGGGTAACGAATAAATAAGATTGCCTAGTTTTATCTTCTTCCTTTTGGTCTGAGTCTGAGATGAGATATATAATTTATTGGCTAGTTTTGAATGAAAGAATACATTGGAAAGAGGAAGCCGTAACTATTTTCTCAAATTTATTTATGCATATTTATGTTTAGATTTCTAAATTTTTGTGTCAGAATTTCGTGTTATAGTGTTGTTTTTTAAAATTTATTTATGTTTATTTAGTACATACTTAATGTTATTTCTATCGGATTGAATTCTATACAATTATCATACAAACCAATCATCCAATATAATGTATTGAATCTTGACATCCGAACACACATTGGATCTGATTGTAAAACCTCAAATCCAATAATATATTAAATTGGATTAAATTGATAAAAATTCATTAGTTTCGAACAGATGTAAACCCCTAGCCCTAGGCGTATACGTAGAGAAACAAGGATTGGCAGAAACCGATAGACCACAAGTGCGTGCGGCGTCAAACCAACAAACTAAAAAAGTACATGTACATCTCGCACAACACCTACACTACAGGCTACAATTTGTTATTTGTTATTTTTGGTCTCAAGACAAGACCTACAGTCTACAATAGTAAAAGGGCATTTCATTTTTGGTGTTCTTAGTCTCACTCAATTTTCACTTTTTTGGTCTTTTTTATTTTTATGACTAGAAGAATTGTCGTTTAGTTTGGCTTGCAATTAGTCCCAATCATGAAATACAATCTAAATTGTTGTATTTAACCGAAAACACAATCAATCCATCTAATTTTGCACTTATATTCGTGTATTTGTGTGTGTTTGTGTTTTTTTTTTGGGTAATTGTTATGGACAACAATTAAAAATACGGATCCTTGATTGAGTTGAGAACTTGAGATCAAAGTATTTATCTATCTCCGTACGTCTTTTGATTCCAAGCCCAACCAAAGAACAATCATGGACAGGACAGGACCCAACAACATGAGTCTTTGGACTACACTCAATAACCCCCGTAAATGCGAAGAAAAATACGTTCTCATATTATACATGGACTTGGACTTCCCAGCAGTGCACCTCGCAGTCGCAGACTATAATTGGTACCAAAGTTATATTAAATCAAATAAAAGATAGATTGAACATTATTCAAACTTTTCTTTTTTATTTTTCTTTTTTTGGTTTCTGAAATTACGTACAATAAACACACCAGCTAGCTAGCTAGCTAGCTATAATTAGGTACGTAGCCCACATATATATATATATATATATATATGGGTACTTATACATATGTATAATTAAGGAACCCAAGTTAGCCAGCGTGAATGCATGCAAATGAAGGTTGTACGTAAGTCCATGCTTTCCTTTGCGCATGCATGTCCTTTCCTAGTTGAGTTGCAGCCATGCATACTGAGGATGTGGCAGGGAGCGCTTATATATCATGACCCAGGCGAAGGCGAAGCAACGTACATATATACCTGCATGCATGATATATGCGGGCATGGATTTGTATATGTATGCATGCATATTGTAGTACTAGCTAGGTAGACGGATGGATCGATCTCAACTGGTTGACCTCGGAATGGTGTCGTCGTAACGGATATGGACGGAATCCAAGCGATCCAAGCGTTGAAGCCTCATCTGTTGATAGAATTGAGCGATAAACTCCTCCGCCTTTGCGTCAATGTTGGCGTTGACGATGGCGGCGTTGTCGTTGTCTTCGTCGGTGCGGTCTAGCTCTTGGAGATTGACGGCAGAGGCGTATCGGCTAGACATGCCATCTTCGGAGGCGAGGTCGTCGGTTCGTGCCGGAGACATGGGTGGAGGGAGCACGTCCTCGTATCGTTCACTTGTGTGTACGGAGGATGGCGGAGTGGGGTTGCTGGTGGTTTGGAGGTGCAAGGGGCGGATGGACCCTACGAGGCGCTTCCACGTGCCTTTTGTTGAGACCATGGCTTGAGCTTGAGCTTCGAAGGAGGTGGGTTTGGATTTTCCATCTGAACGATGTCGTCGTCGGAGCATAAAGAGGGCCAACTGGAGAATGTGCATAGCTCCTCCACTACGCTTCTTCTTAGGTGCAGGTGCTGCGGCTGCGGTGGCGCCCACATCATGATGGTGATCATCAGATTGATGATCATGAGCCGCTTCCTTGATACTAGTATGATCAATAATATCCGTAGGAGTAGGACCCGGACCCTTGTTGCTGTCGGCGATGGTGATGATCACGCTGTCTGACTTGGGTTCCATTAATTAATTGATGGGGGATATATATAGTTTATGTTAAGGGCCGTGCCTAGGTGCAGCGGGCGCCTGTGGTCTTCTTCTTTATCCCCTCTCCCTGCAGCGAGCAGGGTGAGATGTGGGAGAAGACTGTGGTGGGAAAGGTTGGAAGAAACCAGGTTATATACAAAATTAAGGTCCGACATCGAGGGATGCTTGAATAGGGCATCTATATTTGGGCATGAGCTAGCTATAACTATGGGAATGAAATGGCATTGATTTGATGGATGGATGGAGGAGATTAATTCGTTTTCCATATATACTAATTGTTAGTTATGAGTGCTAGTAAGGCGTTGTTTACTTGATTATTAGTTAATTTTTGATTCGTTAATGTAAGCCAAACAAATCATAAAATTAATCATATTAAATTATTAATGTTGTGTTTGAGCCAGACAAATCATAAAATTAATGAAGAGAAATTCATGGAGAGAAGAGCGAGGCTCAGGCAGGGATGTTGTTTCGGGTTCAATCTTTGATGCCAGCAGGAGGTGCCGCAACTTTCTCATTTGAACTGGTCCTCCATCTCTCTCTCTCTCTCTCTCTCTCTCTATAGATAGATGAGGCTAATTGCCACAAACTGTTTCCAACAGCTATGAGTATGAGATAGGGCCCATAAATTCTTCAAGTGGTTGAGCAACTTCGCTACAGACTGTAGAGTGAGAATGACAGAATGAGTTGCTGCTCATTTACTCAAATTCGTTTATTCATATAACTAGACTAATGTAGTTGAATATAATTCCCACAAATAATGAAGTATTTGTAAAAGGAAACAAAAGTCATAAAATAATAAAATGCAAGTCAGTCAATGCATTATGCATATGCAGCACCACATCCACGTCCACATCCACATGAATGATACAGCTTTTCAGTCTAAGATTGTTGTAAGCTCATTCACATTACACAATTTAAAATGACCAAACAAAGTTGAATTTGAATATATAATTAAAATTAAATGAATTACTAGAACACGGCGGTAACACGGTTTGAGTACCCTCTCAACTTCTCAACTCAACTCTCTCTCTCTCTCTCTCTCTCTCTCTCTCCTCCACAAGTTTTTTTATTTTTGGTTTTGGGGTGGTGGGGGGTGGTCAATTCTCCACAAGTCTTTGATTGTGAGAAGGTTTCTTAACGGTTTAAATAAATATAAAAAGTAGACTTACTTTTACAAAGAAAGTCTTTTGGCTTTCATTTAATTAATTAATTATGGGAATTTAAATAAATTAAGTTTTCCGGTGTAATTTGTTTTTTTGATCGAAGGAAAACAAACAAGGAAACGGTGGTCACTGGGGTGGCGAGGAAGGTTCCAGCACAATCCAACTAATTATTAAAAGGGCAGGAAAGGAAATTGGCTGGCTTGGCGTGTGTTGGTGTTGGTGTTGGTGTTCCAGCACAATCCAAATAATTGGCATTGACCTTTTCCAGCGGCTCTTTCTTAACTTAATTAATTCTCATCTTTCCGTTTCCTTTTTCTATTTTTTTCATCAACTGATTTTGATAACATTATTACTCAATTAATTAATATAGGCGCTTGCCGCTTGCAGTAAGTGTGGTTCCTATTTCTTTGAGGGATTACTAACAGTCATTTCATGAGATAATAAATTATTAAGGATGCCAAAAGACATTAATTCCTTCCTGCTGCTGCAAGAAACAAGGGGAGGGAGGGGTATATTTGGAAACCAATCAACTGCTTTCATTGATCGTCGATCGCTGATCGTCGATCCTCTCCTCTCCTCTCCCGCGTATAACTTAACAGCCGTGTGTGTGTGTGTGTGTGCGCTCAACCCAACAGTCGCAATCGAGTTCCCACCTTCCACACTCTTTCAATTTCGAGCAATCACACACACCAATCATCAAATTCATTAATTAAAGACCAAATAAACAACAATTAAACCCTCTCTCTCTCTCTCTCTCTCTCTCTCTCTCTCTCTCTCAAGCAAAGTTCACCATACGCGTTCAAGTGATTAAGAAGATTCCATATTAATATAAACACTAGTCCTATATATATATATATAGAGGTACCTCCTGTCCTGTGACTCCTCATCACTTAGTCTTCATATCTTCCAAACACAAGACATATTCATTATTCAGCACCAGATACAAAATCAAATCAGCTTTTCTCATTTGTCTTTCTTTCTTCCCACCCACATTTTTGTATACGTCAGCTACCTAATTAAGCACCTTCGTCTTTTTGCACCAAATCATCAAGCTACGTACTCGATTCTTGACGATCGATATAATGATGATGAAGATGTCCAAGAAATCATCAATTAATGGTGATCATCATCATCATCCTGATGTCGGTCGTAGAGCATGGAAGCTGCTGCGTCTGGCATTGCTTTGGGCAAGAAAAGGCGGTGTCTTCAGACGACGCCTCATGATGGAACTGCGGGTCGTCCCGAACTTCCTCAAGAGCCTTGCTCATCATCATCATGATCGCAATGATAATCAATATTACTTTGAGCGTCAGCTGTCCTTCGACAAGACCCCCATTTTCCCCACCCTCAAAATGAACCGTCGAACATCCTCCTCCTCCATGCGCTTCATCATGAAGTCGACATGATCATTAATAATCATGATCAATTAGATGGTGAAGATGATGATGATGATGATGATGATGAGGGAATGATAACTGAAGACGGTACTATTATTAATGTGCATGAAGAAAAGGGATGTGCAGATTATGAGGATGAATTGGTTGATATAAAGGCGGATGAGTTCATAGCTAAATTCTATCAGCAAATTAAGCTCCAAAGACAGATTTCATACCTACACTACTCCTCTAGTACTACTATACACTCAGACGCATGCTCAATTAATATATAATACACACACCACAAAGCTACATCTCCTCCGTCCATCCCAAATCTCTCTCTTTTCTTTTCCCATTGTTTCTTGTTTTCATTGTATTTTGTAAAAGAGGCAAATATTATTGCGGCATTTTTGTAGATTGACAGGTTAATTAGACTGTTTCCAACGATATTAATATTAATAAATAGAGCTTTGCAGTTCATAGTCTCTTCTCTTCTTTGTTTTGTTTTCTTTCACAATCAAATATTGGAGGAGGGCAAATTCAAACACATAACCTTGGATAGATGCAAATTTTAAAAAACTACTCTTAACCACTTGAGAACTACCAAGTCTCTTAATTCGTCTTTTCATTTTGAACATGGTTAAGAATCTTAAAATGGAAGGGAATTGAACGCCCATATGATCATGATTCATGACCATGAGGTGCTAACAGACTACAGCTCCTATCCTAATGTATCAGTCTTCCTTTCATGACCATATGATCATGATTCATTACCATGAGCTGCTAGCAGACATTGATTTTGTTTTTAATTTGATAAATTAAAAACAAAATCAAAATATTTTAAAACAATAATCTGTCATTTGTTTTGGGTTGAATCAAATGCCTGCATATTTTAAGTGCGAATAAATGATGAAAAGAAAATTCCAAGAGTTACAGAAATCCTTCCGACAAAATAAGAATTTGAATAAGCTTTGAACTGAGCAGCACGATAAATCGTGTAACCACAGTAAGATAAGATGCTAGCTCAGCAATCAGGATCCACTTTCATCGTAAACTTCCATGTATTTATCCACCATCGTACGGCAATCCCTATTTGAGTTTGAAGTTATGCAAGTGCACTGATCAAAGTAACAAAATTAGATAAGACATTAGCTTTTACTACACTAGGCCGCATCCACGTCCACATTCAAATCTACCTTGAAAAAATGATCTGGGAATATTGAGACAGCAACTCAATGCTGTCAACTTGTATTTGGATGCCGGTCAAGATATGTTTCCAACTGGCCTGTTGCTGCCAAGATAAGACCTAGAATTGCAATGTCCCAGATGTCAAATGAAGTACAGAGACTTAATGACTTGATAGAGCTTCACTGAATGTAAATGGGAATTGTAAAGAGACAATCCGTAATGTACTTCAAAACAAGCATGGCCCAAGTTCTATATCAAACACTAGAGAAACATAGTAATTCAAAGATGCATGTTGCAGCATATGCATGTCTCCCAGTAATAACAGGAAATGTGAGTATATGACATCTAAAGCTCACTTGTTTGTACTAGTACCTAAAAAGAGAGCTGAGGGCTTCCCTGGCCGTGATTTAAATTCTGGATGAAATTGCACACCTACATAGAATGGATGGCTTGGAAGCTCTAAAATCTGCAGAACAGAAAAGTAACACAAATCATGTTAAAAAGTCAAATTTTCAAATTCAATCCTTTTCAGTAAATGGTAAGAAAGGATTGTGTGCAACTATAACCAAATAAAGGCTGACAAATGCTCACTACAAGTGAGCATAAGACCAGCAGAAAACCCACCTCCATTCGTCTTCCACTGTCATCCTTCCCTACAAATTTTAGGCCTGCTTCTTCAAGAATTCCAATAACATCTGGGTTCACCTGCATCATGATGGAATCAGACCATGTCCGCCACATAAAGGCACTTGTGAAAGATCATGTTTCACCTGAACTAAATTACAACCAACCTCATATCTATGCCGATGCCGTTCATCCACATACTCTGAGTTATGGTACCTAGAAATTGATAGCAATAACAGATTATGCATGTTAAAAGTGGATGCTAATAGTGGAAGACTAAGAAGTTTCAACGTGGTGGTCTTCTGGGATTAGTTTTGATATAAACAGTCACAGATACAACACATAGTTGAGATATCAGGAAAGACTTCCTGCAAAATAATAAACTAGCCAACAAAGTTCAAGAGTTTTACAGTATAAATGCAATAAAGGTAAAAGTTCAATTGCATGTGCCATGGGTTCTTCCAGACCGGCAGTGTTTGAACACATGGCACCCGAATCGACTTTACTGTATAAATGCAACAAGGTAACTGAACTTATAATTTGAATTTTCAGTAACACACAGGTTATTTGTTGTATTTCTCAAGTTGAACATAGTAATAGATAATGAACATACAGCTTTGAAGTAATGCAATCAGGAGTCTGGAAAAGTGTTCTTCTGGATCCCAGTCTCATTGTGCTTCCCATATGTGTTCTTGAACCCTATATGCAGACATAAAAGAATGAACTATCACGGGAAGAATGTTGCAGCCATATGTATTTCATAACTGAATAGGAAAGCATCACCATAAATTTTTACCTCGGGCATAAAAACTACAACAGGATTTGGTGTATGTTCATCGAACTCTGTGCTGTCCGCCCTTTCTAAACTCAAAAGCTAAAACAAGTAATTAAATTAGAGCTGATATATGATCTTAAAATTAGAAGAAAACATGTTAGTGAAAGAAATGTCACTTACGGATCTTGCGAACTCAATCACGGAAATCTGCATGCCCAAACAAATCCCAAGATAAGGAACATTGTTCTCTCTGGCATACTTTGCAGCTAATATCATACCTTTCACACCACGATCTCCAAATCCGCCAGGAACCAAGACGCATGCAGCATTCTGCAAATGTAGAATAGATCGAAACATAATTACCCAGACCCTCAACTGTACTGGCGAGGGGATGATAATTTAGCTTATAGCGTACCTTTAGAGTCTCCCATGCAGCAGCATGTGCTTCTGGTGTCTGTAGGAGAAAGACAAATCTAAAGTAAAGATAATATGAACATGATATTAAAGCAAATCAGCACAAATGATGTGGTTCAATACCAGTTTGGCACTGTCATCTTCAAGGTCAGAAGCGGCAATCCAGTCAATTGATGGCTTTAAAGAACATGCGACGCAAGCATGCAAAAGGGCCTGCAAGAAAGTTTAGCCGTCATAATACAACAGACATATAGTTGGCGATTTATTAACAACAAAATAATCTAACAAGCATGTACGGCACAAAGCAACAGGGAGACATAGTAGCATTAACTCATATATTAACTGAATGTTATATGAATAACTAAATTCTAAGGTCTAAACTAGAGATCATATACACCATCTATCCAGCCAACGAAAAAATAGAACAGAAGTTAGCATCACACCTTCACTACAGATAGATATGAATCTGTAAGGCCAACATACTTCCCCACCATGGCAATCCTCACCTGCAAATATCAACAGATTGTCATCTGATGAATCGAAAAATAAAAGAGATAATGTTCCAACATAGAGCATTGCCCACTTATCTAATAACACTCACAGAATTTGTGAGATTATCATAAGTCTCTGCCATCTTGGTCCAATCTCTTAAATCGGGAGGCATAGCAATGCTGAAACAGAACATTAAACACCAGTAAGTTAACATAGCCAACCTTCCTGTAATCTATATATGTTTCGAGCATCATAATGAATCACAAATGTAGTCTACAATCACAATTGCAATAATTAGAGGGGGAGAGAGAGCACAAATATCAACAAAAGGAGTCCAACTGTCCAAGGTAGGCATAATTCTACGTAGAGATTGCTTTGTTCTCATTACACAGGAAGAATTTTAAACAGGCTGATGCTAATTATCAGTCCAGCACCAAAATTGAAGCCTTAAATCTGAAGTAAACGGTGAAACTTACCTTAGTAAATTTAGTTGTTGAAGAATTGAATGATGAGCATTTTGGTTCTGAACAGCAATGTGTCAAACAATAGTTAGAACAAAACTTTAGACAAAATGTAAAATAAGTATTTAAGCCTCCAAGAAGACAAAGAATTGTTATTTAACCCACCCTAAGTAAGAGAGGAACGTGCCAAATGTTTGGTACATCATGGATATTGAGAATATTACCAGCCTGTAAGAAAACAAAAAAGAAAATATAAAACTTGTACTCAAGAAAACAAAGTTTGATGAGAAAAAAACCCAAATAGGATTAAGTCAGCAACTTACTGCAACATGACAAAATTGTGAAAGTTTCTCCTTCGTATTTTCCAATAATGGCTGCAATATAGTCACACACAAAAATTCATCTCCACCAAATTTAATCTTGACGAAATAATGATAGAATAAAATAGAGAGGGAGTCAGGTGGCCACATTGCACCAATATGAGGTGTCCATGCAAGACTTAAATGGGACCTAATGGAAGTTCTCAGGCTAAATTTATCTGCTCATTTGACTTGTGTGAACGTAAAAACAAGATAGATGAAAAGAAGTACCTGTGCAGAGCGACATGCTAATAGATGAGGAGTCAAGCCTAATGCTCTTAGTTCCCGTACACTATGTTGTGTAGGCTTTGTTTTCTACATGGACGCACACAGACACACACACAAAGAGAGTAAGAGTCAGTCACCCAGAAAAAAAAAAAACCAAATTCTTCAAAAGATATAGTCAACTTTAATATCCAAGATTACAAACTACTATGAGTAACTAATGAAGACACATAACATTCAACAATTAAGTACAGAGTCTTACTTGCTCTCCAACAACACCCAGTACCGGGATCAGGCTCACATGAATAAGGCAGAAGTTTTCTTGCCCTGAGGAAAGAATTAAATACACATTATCAATAATACAATGAAAGTTCAAATCCAAGTGGATATCAACTCCATATGGAAATAATTGGTTACTTTTAGTTCTGGATATCCCACATTCCAATACATCTATACACCGGAAAAAGCAGAGCAGCAAGCGCTGGATGAAGTTTAAACAGTGGAAGTATGTCAAGTTTATTAGCGCTCATAACATATTGGACCAACAATCTAAACATGTCCTTATCAGATCTCACTGCATATTCCAACAGCAGTAATTGGATAATCTATTTTGACCACACAGCATAAAAAAAAAATCAACAATCTGAATCAAGCATGTGGGCGAAGAAATGATCTCATAAATAGAACCATTAAAATTCCTATAAAAATAAAAAAAAAACATATACCACAACCTTACCAACTGAAAAAGACAATTGGCGCAGAGCCTCAATGAATGGCATGGATTCAATGTCACCTAAGAAGAAAGAAAATAGTTAGCTCTTGCACATAAACACATAGAAAGAACAATGGGTCATATAAAGTATCTATGTTTTAACTGTCGCTTACCCACAGTCCCACCCAACTCTATAACACAAACATCTGCAGGGCCCACTTTTCCATCGACAGGAATGAGAGAAACTGATTCGATCCAGGTCTTAATGGCATCAGTGATGTGTGGAACAACCTAAATCGACTCAAACATGGCAGGAAGCCAATCATCAGTACTGTATGCAAGTGATAAAAAAAATATTAAAAAAATAAAGTTATGATTCATTAACATTTGTAATTTTGTATCATCACCTGAACAGTCTTTCCAAGGTAATCACCTCTCCGCTCCTTATCCAGGACAGACTGATTTCAAAAATAAAAATGAGGAAACCCATTAAACAAAAAAATCAACGTTTCATGAAGGGGATAGATGGAGACACATCCCTGTTAGGAAAATATAAGCACACACCTGATATATCTTCCCAGTGGTAATGTTGTTGTCCCTAGTAAGAGTGACATCTAGGAATCGTTCATAGTTGCCGAGGTCTAAATCAACCTATTACGATTAAAGTTTAAACTCAGGCTCAGCAGCAGCATAAACCATAAAGATAGTATTTCAGAGGCAAGGTGAAGTATTCCGTACTGTCTCGGCACTGGTTAAGTGTATGATAAATATTTAAACAAAAAAAGCAAAAAAAGTCCAAAGCGAAATACCTCTCCACCATCATCGAGAACAAAAACCTCGCCATGTTCAAAGGGAGACATGGTGCCAGCATCTGTGTTCAAGTATGGATCTACAAATTGTTGAACCAAAATCAAATTAATAAAGAAAAAAATTGAAGCATTTATAGTAGAGATAGTAAGAAAGAAAGCGAAAAAAGAAAGAAGAAGAAGAAAACCGATTTTGATGGAGGTGACGCGAAGGCCACAGGCTTTGAGGACGACGCCGATACTGCTGGCAGTGACGCCTTTGCCCAGCCCACTCACCACACCACCTGTTACCAAAACGTACTTCATGCTATCCTACTCTTCCTGCCTCACACACACTCTCTCACAGTCTGTGTGTGTGAATTTGGAGTTGTAAACGTTTTGTTTTGTTTTGTAGGCGAAATGTTTGTGTTTATGTCTGAGCGGGAAACGTTATATGGCGGTCATGTCGCTTTCGCTCTCGCTCGCTCTCTCTCTCTCTCTCTCTCTCTCTCTCTATCGGCTTTCTTCGTACACAAAATTACTTGTGTTGTTGACATCTGTTTTTATCCTCTGCCAGTGTCATTAGGAGGAAGGGGGATTTGATTAAGAGCAAAAAATTAAAATTGGAAGAAATAAAAGATTAATTAGCAAGAATAATAATATGAATAAAGCAGGCTCTTCCTCCGCTTGGTTCATTTTCTTTTATTTGTAAATTTATATATATAGCCTATAGGGAGGGAGGGGACTCAGGGAGGGGTTGGGTGGTTCATTTATTCCGTTTGCATAAAAACCTCATCTTTCTTCTGTTGCTTGGTGTTGCTTTAATCTAAAAATGATGCATTAGTGAGTGAGGGAGGAATAATCCCAGTTCCCAGCACCCAAACACATTACACAACTGTGACAACACAACAGGGGATCTTCTTTTTGTTAGGGAGGGGCTTTGGAGGAAAGGAAAGGGCATATGCTTTTTGGAGTGGCCTTTTTTTTTGGATCTTTTTTGGCTTTTTTGGGTATAAATTATAAAAAATCCAATCAACTCGTTCCTTTGTCTGTAGCCCAGCCCAGCCCAGCCCATTGGATCTTCATTCATTTCGGTCTTCTTGTGTAGCCCAGTGGATGCCAAAATTTTGTTGTGGTTGTGAAGGAAATAGGCGACGTCGTTTTGTGCGCCCTTTATACGAGTCTCATACAGAAGAACAGAATACTAGACATGAATTGTTGGAGAGGGAGGAGGTTGGTCTGGTACTTGGTAGAGTAGTAATCCAATGCGTCCAGAATCGAACTCAGCTGGAGCTGCAGAATCTTCATCATCAGCAGCAGCTTCCGCTGCATCATCATCATTGTCATCATCATCTCCATCTCCATCTCCATCTGGGAAGCGGAGCAGAGATCCTGAAGATGAGGTTTACCTCGATAATTTCCACTCTCACAAGCGTTACCTCAGCGAGGTTTCTTTTCCTTCATTCTTTATCATTTCATCATTTTGATTTCATTGCCGTACATATGTTTGCTTGTGCTTTGCTTTATTTAACCTCTTCGTCGTCTGCCGTCTGTCGTCTGTCATTTGTCGTCTGTCTTCTTATAATTTATTTGATGGAATCATACTTGAAGGACTTTTCTTTTTCTTTTCAAGTTTGAAAATTTACTGCGTCTGACTCCGACTCTGATTCATTCATGGGTCTTCTTCAAGGAATTTTCTTCATATGGAACTTTTATAAAAAAATAAAAAAAAATTAATGTTTTCAAAAATATGTACACAGTTACTAGACCATTTCTGGCATGATGATATTTCCTTATTACCCTTTTCAATCATCACAGCTTCACATGCCATACTTTCCTCTTCACATATAACTTACAAGCATATGAATGAATAATCAGTCTTTGATCCTTCATTTCCCTCACAACTTGTTTCTTGTGCAGATTATGGCATCCAGTTTGAATGGACTGACAGTTGGAGACCCACTCCCTGAGAATCTCATGGAATCTCCAGCCAGGTCTGAGACCATGTTTTATTCAAGGTAATTTCTTATGTAACACTTGTATCAAACTTTTCTGTCAATTCTTTGTACCTGGTTTTGGAAACTACTCCGTCCCACATAAGATAACTATGCTTATTCTCGTTATTTCATTATGCAACTTTTTTTTATCATAACGTTCTGCTTTAGACTGTACGTTTAAGTTGGAGGGAGTAGTAGGTTGTCAAATATCTATTGTTAAAACATTTTCACATTTTGGTCAGCAGACTCATGTCTCATGACTCAGATTCTTGCCTAGTTTTGATAGGTGTTATTACTTAAATTCAGGTTCTTTTTTTAATAAACCTGGCCCTTCTGAGAGGCTTACTGTGTGCTTTTTTTTCATATACGGGCTGTGCCAAAGTCTGTAAGCCTATACCTCATTCGTTTGGCACCATACTATAAGTTTCTTAGGATTGAAGGGTCATGGTTTCTTAGATTGTGGCACTCACTGAAGCTGCATAAGGGGTGCAGATTATAGTTGATATTTCTATCTTCTTTTGTCTGTTCTTTGATTTCTTTATTCTTTTGTTGTTATCTTTTTCCCTGAAGTTGGTGATATCATATGACTCAAACAGAATAAGCCATCTTATGGTATAGTTTCGATTGGATGTTGTTATGATAGCTCACATTACCTAGCGTTTGCAAGAATTTAATCATATTTCTTAGTATATTGAAGCCAGTTTACTTTGGGCCTTTTGCTTAGGTGGTAAACCAGAAGGGTGAATTTGGTTTAGGTTTTAGTGCTACAGAACAATTGGAGGGGAAAACTTCAATTCAAAGACCGTACTTGATATGGCTGCAAACCGAAACCGCATACTTTGAAGATTTCTTGGCATGTGAACATAGTAGCAATCACATAAAATTTTCTTTTTGTCTTCACTCATCTAAATGCAAGATTTGCTAGACAAGTGGACAGCTTGAAGTATATAGCCAGATATAAGACACTAGCATCAATGATTTTGAGCAACCCCTCACCAAATCTTATCTCATTTCCCTCAAGTCATTGGTTTCCACTTTAAACACGAGTTCTCTTAATTAATAATCATGTGCTTTGCTTTCTCCATCTTGCTCCTTCCTAGTAAAGAGAAAATTTTACTTCCTTTATTATGCTGATTTTTCATTAATTTTTCACAACTTTATGTTTCCAGGGATGAGATGTCGCTACAATATTCACCCATGTCAGAGGACTCGGATGACTCTCGATTTTGCGAGAACCCCATAAATACTTGCTCCTCCCAACCTGACAGTGTCCCCTCTAGTCCGGTCTCTCCATATAGGTACCAAAGACCACTTACTGGGTTTCCTTCCACTTGTTCAAGTACTTCACAGTCTTCACATGGCTGCACCGTCACTAATTTTAACTGCTCGCAGCCTCGTCAACGAGGCTCTGATTCAGAGGGACGATTCCCATCATCACCTAGTGACATTTGTCACTCTGCTGACTTGAGGAGGGCTGCACTCTTACGGTCCGTGCAGATGAGAACACAGCCATTTGCCCCACCATCTGATGACATGGCATTTAGCTCCGGGCAAGAGCCTGTATCCAACATTGAAGCTGAAGAGCGGTCATGCCCCTATATGAAGTCTTTAGTTGATGAGAGGGAATATCCAATTGCAGAGTGTTCTTCTATGGGTATCTCAGAGCCTGATTTTAAACAAGAGAAATCATGCAGGATGTTGGATATGGATGAGAAAGGAAATCATTCTGCAGATTAAGTGCTTTAATGATGTTCAGAGAGATATTGCTTGATTTGTAGAATCTTGAGTGCAAGATGAGCATTTGTTAGGTTTATCCTAGTTGCATATGAAGAGAAAGGCCATGCATGAATCAGATTTTCATTGCGTTCTGTCTGGTACATTTTCTGCAGTCAATGTAAAAGAAGTTGCATTGTTTAGCCCTTTCCTTTAAGCTAGGGACAGTTTAACTAACGCACCTGAGATTTTTGTAAATTATTCGTGTAAATTGTTTGATATTGTTAACTTAACATCGTCAATTACAAATCTGATTTCACTTCTTCGGTCGAAACACAATGTTCTTGAATTTTAAATCAAATGCAAAGAGGCATAGGCTGATGAAGTAACAAATATGGGGTTATATATCTCCTTCGAAAGAAGCAACCATTTTGTCCATAAAATAATGACTCATAAATACTTACAATGATTAAACTCCATTAAACTTTATAATCCAAAACATCAAGAACGTGCGGCCAGTCAATCCTAAAAATTATAAACCAAACCCAAAGTCAGCATCTATTCATAATTCTCTTAATATCCACTGTATAGTGCATTATCTATTGCATGGTTTCTCAGCTGTCACTGTTAGGAATACTACTGCTTCTGTCAGGTTGAGCCTCAAGATGCAACAAGGCATTATGCAGATACTCCAAGTCTTCTATGCACACTGTCTTCAAAGTGATTTGGCCTCTTAGGTCACCCAGATGACGGCTTATATCCAGTCCCAAATCGCAGTTAGCATTGCTTTGCTTGCTCGTCACTGCAGGGGCGGAGTCTCTTGAATGTAAGTTAGCTGACCATTTGTGATCATTCACGATTGTCCGATTCAACCTGACAACCATAGTTACAAAAAGAAATCACAAATAAACATGCGATATTATTCATCCGATTTTCATATATATATATATATATATATATATTAAAAAAGCAAAGAAAATAACCCAGGGGCATATGATTGACACCACCATCATCTCCATATGGTACCAACTACATTTTCTTTAGTTCACTAAAACCTGAATCTCTCAAATCAATTTCTATGGTGAAGTTCACACTTCTCAGGGTGGAAGTTCAAGAGAAAAGATGATATCTAGTCCAGCATGTAGTACTTCAAAAAATTGCTGTAATGCACTCTCCCATCTAAATATACAAGCAAATATGTATCTAGAAAAATTACAGCGAAAATTGTTCATCACAATGCAGTAGTCGTATGTATCTGTACGTCTCTAGTACTTTGCAGATTAAAAGTGGCCGATACAATGGCTATTGATAAAGGGACAATGCAAACACAATCTAGAATGATGAAATGCAAGTATTTTCTTACTTTCTAATTAAACTTTGTATGCCCATGTTGTCTTTCACGCTAAACAAGGCATCCACTGCATCTGCTTTTGTCCTCACAACCCCCTCCAAGCTACCACAGGACATGCACATTGAGTGTACTGCAGAATCACTTGTCTCCGAGTTTATGTTGGTAATTCTAATGGTAACTGCCTCTTGGTCATCTGGTGGATGAATTGGAAGATCAAAGCCTTTTGTAATAACCTCAAGATCCAAACTTGCTCTCCTGCTTGTTTCTACGCTCTCGAAACATGCACATGAATTAATTATCAGGCAACCATGGAAAAAGAAGGTGGGGATTGGGGTTCAAAAGTAGCTGATAAAGCATGTGACATGTTCGTAAAAGCTGAAAAGACCTCTGTCAACAGGGAAGGTTGATTGCAGAAGGTTGTATGTTCTCGATAGTAAAAGGTTGGAGGCATCATGTGGTTAATAATAGATCTGAAAATTTGTTCCAGATATCAAGCTAAGATGAATAGTTGGAGAAGAGTTACCCCGTTTAGAGGAAACATCTTTTGAGCTGATGCTGCTTTTTGAAGGCTTTCCAGACGAATTTTTCTTACGATTAGTTTTCTGCTGCAAATGACAATTTCAAGAACACATGACTATGATTAAATTCAGTAATAATCATGAAACTCCAAGCAGAGGTAGTAACTATATTGCACATGTGTTCAAATTAACAAAACCCAAGCCTAAATAAAATATACTCAGAGATAACACAGAGTAAGCAGTTGGGACATTGTGAGCGTACCATATAAGGCTCAGGCTTCTCTGTCATCAACTTCCTGGGATTACTTGGAGCTTTAGGCACTGGGGAGCCCAATTCTGAGTAATCATCATATTCAGAAGGTGAAGAATTAAAGGACCGGGGAAACGTTGTTATGCAAGACGAGGCCCTCGCGGATAATGGGTTATCTATCCTGGCATTGCATCTGCCATCCAAAGTGTAAGTTAATAATATAAATCTAAAGTTTCAAACAGAAATTGCCAAAGTACAAAATGCAGTCGAATTTAAATTCAGCAGCAATTGATAACACCGTTGACAGACACGAGAACAAACCGGCAAGAAGCGTCAAAACTCAAACGCGATTATGTATTCTAATTCTAATGCTTGTGAAGTAACGAAACTAGGAAATTCAACTAAAAGGAGTAAAGTTCCTTTAAATTTACACTCTACAATTCTGAGAAAGTTGAATTCAATCGCTTAGATAGAAATTGGAAACCATGTCGTCTACCATACATGTAAAGTTGCTCAATCATTATAGATATTAAAAATGCTTACGCTTAGAGATAAATTCTGAAAGAAAAAAAAAAAAGAAATTAAAGGAAAAATACCTTTGATGAAAACCTTGGATAAAAGAGGTAAAATTCGAAAAAAGAAGGAGGTACCTGAGCTTGACTGCGGATGAAATGAAGCTATGTTGTTCACCTGGAAAAAGAAAAGAATGAAAAGCAAGGCGAATGCTCAGAAATCAGATGTAAGTAATAGGTTATGAGTCTTCTGACCAATGATAGTGAAGGCTCGGAGGCCAATATATTTCAACTTCAACATCCCCCGCCGCCAACAACCGACCGCCGCAGGCTCAAGGCTAAACGGGTTATCAGCAGCAGCACAGCACAGCACGGCTTAGAGGTTAGTCTGCTCTGCTAACACGACGTCGTCTTTAGCACATGTAGACTAGTGCGGGTAGAAGCGGCCCATTCCCAATTTCAGCATGCAGCACGCGCAGAGTCTCTCCACCAACCAATTCCTTAAAACTGGGCTTTGCCATTTGAGGCCCTAATAAGTCCATGATCCTTCAACTTCTTCAACCCACGGATTTCTAATTTTCTTATTTATATACCATACATGTAAAGTTGCTCAACAGTAATGCTATTTGAACACACTTAATTGGCTACATTAATTGATCACCTTATGGTGGAGGCAAGGGCGGAACTAGAAATTTTTCAATGGATGGGCTAGCTAAAGTTATTAGCTTAAAATCTAATGATAATTTTATTTTTTTTTACTTACATTTTCTATAGTTTTTCTAGAAATAAAAATATACATTAAATCATATAAATCATGCTAATTGTAAATACAAGGAAAAAAAATTAGAGCCATATTATTCACGAAAAGGTGAATTTTATTTAGAAAAATGTTTCACTTTTGGAGACAAATTAATAGAAAATTTTTAAAATTGTTGTTGGGACAAACTTTAACACCAAATACAAATGTGGAAGACCTCTTACTATGCATATTGGTGTTGAGATTATATATATATTTTTTAGTTAAAATATTAGACTATATGTATATTTAATTTGTTTTTTCCCAAACTGTCCCTGGGCTAGAGCCAAGGGCAGCCCTTGCCTTGGTTCCGTCCATGGGTGGAGGATAGTGGTTCTCGTGCTTCTCTTTTGGAATAATATTTTATTGTAAAACATTATTTTTTTTAAAGAGAAATAAGAAAAAACATCCATATCATCTTACATTAATTGAGGTGGCATACCCACATTAACTACCACATTAAGTTTTATTAATAGGAATCAAGTGATTTCCGGTTTTTTGAGAAAATCCTGCTTCTCCCTAAAATCACTTTAAGTGATTCTAATACCTATTTTAAGCGCTTTTAATTTTTTGCCAAACATCCTCTTTTTTAGGCAAAAATGATTATACTCAATAGGAAGTGATTTTGGCCCTCTCAGAATCACTCGCAAACTAGCACAGCACAGCATTACTGTAATCCAATCTAGATGGTAATTGTACAAAACTGAAATATTGCAATTGGCATTTGTGCAAACATTAATTGAAAAAAGAAAGCGAGTAATTAATAAGAAGTAGAAACTAAACTAACTAACTAGAAGTGTATTAACTTTCAACGTACGTCTATCACGAAATGAGATGAACAAAATGAAGAAAACGGGCGGTACAATATATAACAAGTAAATGAATTTCAAGACAGAAGCCAAGCCACCATCGCATTTTGTTTGTCAGGGTCCACGGCCTCTCTCATAATCGATGTATCATCAGTGGTAGTGTCTCTTTCCCAGTTAAGATGATGATGATGAATGGTAGAAGCAGCAGCAGCAGTATTACTAGTAGTAGAAGAAGAAGAAGAAGTACCCTCCTCCCACAACCAAGAAAGCATATTTGCTTTATCATCATCATGATCCCATAACTCATGTCCTGCTTCGACAACACTCTCCCAATCCCATAATATATGATTGTTATGATCACGATCATTTCCATTTGCAGCAGCAGCAGCTTGACCATCCTCCATATCAAAATAATAATTACCAGCAGCTGCTGAAGCTGAAGCTGAACTACTTGAAGTAGCAGTCATTGACATTATTGAAGAAGAGCATACTTGTCCGTTTGATGACGAGCTCAAATGACCACAAGTAGTAGTAGCAGTCTCTACCTGATCTACCTCATGATTAACGCCCATGGCATGATCATGTTGATGATCACTTAAAGTCAAAACCCCATTTGAATTTGGATCCTTCTGCAGTAACTCAACATTGTCCATCAATTCATTAAATGTACCCAACAACCCACCATCAAATTCAATGCCGCCAGATTCATCCAAGTCATCGTCCTTGTTCTCGTCGTTATGTGGATGTGGTCCTAAAAGCATTTCGTGACTTTCCTTCTGACGGTGATCAATATTGACAGGACCCAGCCCATCATGATCACGAGTATCCTTTTCCTCCACCTCTACCTCATCCTCCTCCTCCTCATTCTCAGTAGTAGTAGTAGTAGTAGAGCTCATGAGGACCGCTGGCATTGCTAGTCCTTCTGCTTCCTTCTGCTGCTGATGATGATCATGATTAACAAGGTTGTCGACCATGCAGTCGTCCATGTGATGAGGATGATGATCATGGTCATCAGCAGCTGGGTCAGTCATTAATACCATGTAATCGTGGTGCATAGTATCAATATTATCATTAGGCCCAGGAAAGGGCGTCTTCTTCTCCAGGGCAATCGCCTCCTCAGCAGCAGCAGCAGCAGTATTAGTAATGTCCTTCTGTCCCTTGTTGTGACGTTGGGTATAATTAGTAGTAGTAGTAGTGGTGTATGTTTTGCTCTTCTTCATGGCCCAGCGACTGGTTCTACCGCCTCTTCGCTTGAAAGGAATATTATTACTAGCAGCTGCTGGTAGGCTACTCATTTGATCACTACTAGTAGTAGTAGGCCTTCTGAAGGTGTCAATTTTCCTACTCAAATGAGAGTTCCAGTAGTTCTTGATTTCATTATCGGTTCTTCCTGGTAATTGACTTGCTATCAAAGACCACCTGCATAATCATATTTATCACTTTAATCCATTAATTAAACATCTACTACGCTTCTACCACACAACCACTGCACTACTGATGGAACTTCATTTCTATACTCGGAGGGAGTCATTAAACTGCTGATATTTTTATTTTTTTTTGGGAGATTTACTATTATACCCAATATAGGAGCCCAAATTTTTTTTTTTTTTAAAAAAAACTTATATAAAATGGATTTTAGAAACACACCCAAATGCCATTTATAACATAACAAAAAGGCTTTTAACTTCTTTTAAATTACAAAACTGTCATTGATTTCTTAAAACAAACCCAACCCCAAAACCTCATAAAAAAACCCAAAATACTAAATAGGGCATTAAAGTAATTTAATAATCAAAATTAAATTCAATAGGGTCAGCTATCATATTTTGGATTTTTTTTGAGTTTGTTTATAGAAATTAAATAGTGTAGAGTTTATTTATAATTTTAATACATTTTAGTATATGACTAAATATCTCTATTTAATAATCAAAATTAAATTCAATAGGGTCAGCTATCATATTTTGGATTTTTTTTGAGTTTGTTTATAGAAATTAAATAGTATAGAGTTTATTTATAATTTTAATACATTTTAGTATATGATTAAATATCTCTATTTTTTTTTTGTCATAATTAAACTGCTGATATTTAAGTCTTAGTTGTAGCGAAAAGACAAGAACACGTAATACTTACTTGGGCACTGACCAATCTAGCTGGCTAATTTTGACCCAAAAAATCTAGCTGGCTAAACAGTATTGATGAGTCATAAGAAACTAGGAATTAATTTCTGTATTAAATCTGATAACAAGTATTTTTTATTTTTTTTAAGTCTGACTAAACTATGTTTGTTTTTCATGGTGAAATAGATTACACGTGATCAGTTCTATATACCGACTACCGAGTGTCTCCCTCAAAGTGTAAAAAGCAATCAAATCAGTGCCTTGGCTCACCCATTGACGGTGATCTAGTTCCTTGTGTTTTTTCTTTAAAAAGGGAAGGGTGACCTAGTTCCTTCCAGAGTTCCAACTAATAAAACAAGCAAATTTATTTACTTGACAGGGACAGATAGAAAACAAAAGAGCAAAGGGAAAGCAAGCTGCACTGCCTGCAACGAAAAGAAAAAAAGTTGACATAATTTTCAAAAAGTTGATCCGTCCAATTCACTTGTCCTTGGATTTGATTTGATTTAATAATTTATTAACTTGCTGGTGGTTTTGGTTCTGGTGTTTGCGGTTGTTATTTATTTGGTAATTAATGAGTGAGAAAATTATCAATTTATCATAACTTCATAAAGAATAAGTAGTTAGTAAGTATTATTAAGTAATTAAGGAGGTGGAGGAGACTAGTAGTCAACTCACCTATTTCCCAGAGAAGCATGCAATTTGATGATGATATCTTCCTCTTGGGCAGATATATTTCCCCTCTTCAAGTCGGCTCTCAAATAGTTAATCCATCTTAGTCTGCAACTTTTACCACACCGCAGTAACCCTTCAATCAGAATCACAGTAAGTAACTCGTCATCGTAATATATACATACATATGACAAAAGCAATTTATAAGCTTAGCCAATGAATGACCAATGTAAGGCGTGAGAAGAAGAACAAAACAAGATTCCGGATGACTGAGATTCAGTAGCACCACCACCACATCCACAAGTTCTAGTGTGTAAATATTTTTGAAAGATAGATATATATGTACCTGCATTCTTGGGTAATGACCTCCAGGAGCCTTCCCCATTGGTCTGGATATAGTTGATTAAGATTTGATCCTCCTCTGCTGTCCACCTCCCCTTCTTCAGCCCAATCTTGTCACAGCATGGAGCCCTCCCCATTTCCAACTCTCTCTTTCTCTATCTTTCTCGCGAGACAAGTAGCTCAGCTGGCTGGCTGGCTGCTGTGGAAATGAGTTGGGTTGAGTTGAGTTTAGTTGACCAAATGAATGTATGATATAGTGTCCTCCTTACTCTTGGGAAGGGAGAGAGAGAGAGAGAGAGGGAGGAGGCAGCAACCAATGCAAGGAAGGAGTACTAGTACAGAGAGTGTCCTTACTCTAAGGTTTTAAAAAGCACAAGTGAGTATGTGAGTATGAGGCCGGGTGGGTCCGTGGGGATCGCTTTTCATTGAATATTGATGGAGATAGAGGTGTGGTGCCAGATTGTGCCACGACGGCTACTTCTCTATTTTGCATTCGTGGCTGCTCCTCTGTCGACAGCCTCGTGACGGGGCTCGCATACTCCCACGTTGACGCGATGCGCCTCCCTCTTGGAACAGAGAGAGAGAGAGAGGGAGAGAGAGAGAGAGAGAGAGAGAAATGCTTTCTTCCTCCCCCCCTTTTTACTGTTCCAAATATCATCATCAAATATGTCCTGTCCTCTATGCAAAATACAATTACGTACAACATTCGTTCTGGGTATACCTATAGCTCGCTCAAAAGCATTTATTATCTCATCTACCCCCTTCCTTCCTATGTCTGTCCACTTTTCGATTCAATCTGCTCTGCAGCAGAACTACCATTACCATACCAACAAACTAACAAAGGCAGGAACACACAATATTTGATTATTGTTCCTCCTCAACAATCAAAAACTTCATTAATACCTCTTGTTATATTCATAACAAAATAAATAAAACAACTATTTTAATTAATTTAGTCTCTCTTTTTTTCCTGGAACACTGCAATGTTTTTACTAAAAGCAAAAAGAAGCCTACAATATTTAAACATGGATCGTACATTATAATGATTTCCTCTAATTTGTTGGAGGACATTTGGTATGTATATTATCAAGCAGCTTAATTTCCAGTCATCATTTCATACAATTTGCAGCAGATGAATTGCTGCTTACGCATGGCTTAAGATTTAGAGTTACCAACTTACCACTGTGATTAATATCTGAACAAGTTATAGATAGATAGATATATGCAATGCAACATGTTAGTAACTTGGCCCATCCATGCCCAACTATAGATGATAACTGTACGTACGTATAGCATTGGCCTCGGTTTGATCTCTTTTTTTTTTCTTTTTTTTAGGCTAAAGCTTGATCACTTATTGCTCGTTTCACAAAAAACACGTACAGTGTCCACTTAAAAATTTATAATTTTGTCAACTATATATTTATTATTTATTCATGCTCATGCTCATACATTATTATTATAATTGTATAGTGTTAGAACTTACAACTTAACTCTCTGAATGGCCATCATCAAACCATGATAAGTTTATCAATTAGGGATTTGCAATTGGGGCTTATCAGTAATTATGAGTTGCAATTAATTTTGGTTTGTTGAATTATGAATAGGATTTGAAATTGATTTTGGTGTTCTTGCTTGTATGAATTATCAATTAGGGATTTTGATAAATTGATTAGTTGCTACTGCATGTTGATTGAAGATGTGATAAAGGCCTAATTTCTTATTTACAATTGATGAGGACTGAGCTATGCATTAATTTCAACCTTAGATGTTGTAATCCAATCTGAGAGTGGAGCGGAATCAAATGAGCGCGGGAGGTTGAGGATTAATAGCCATGGATGACGAGAGAATTGAGAAAAGGAATAAATTAATGGGATAAAATAACAAACAATCAAAGGGTAATCAAGATGACAAGTAGCATTTGGGAACTAATCATTTATCACTAATGATATTAACAAAATCTCTACTAGACTAGTTACTAGTTAGTTACAATACTAATAGAACAGAATAATGACATCTGCTGACCTAACAGCTTTGTTGAGGTGGAAGTTGATTGGAAGTTGTAGCATGATTACAATCTCTTTCAATTCAATCAAGCACCTCATTTTACTGGACAAAATCAAGTATCCAACTGCGAAACGATGTTTTATTTTTTATATATAAAAAAACAGCTATTAAAAGAGAAGAGAAGTTAATGAAATAACCAAGTGAGGGCTATGCCCAATTCGTGGATGTCTTAGGCCCTTGAGGAAGACCGGGCTGCTTTGGATCCTGGAGTCTTTTACATTAGAGGGTGAGTAGAGTATGACCCTGAGCTGAGCTAACTTGTAGTTTGTTTTGTTTTTTATTTTTTGGTCTGAAAATACTTCATTAAAAGGCGCGAAAAACCGCTAGGAGAACAACAAGACAGACCATAAATTTGTACTGCCATTTTACCCCAATGTTTTCAAAGGCGAGGTGCATATGCGAAACGTTTTTAGTAGCGCTATAAAAAGCGTAAATTTTGAAGCATTGAGGTGTAAGTCTTTTGAACAATAATTTATTTTAATAAGAAAAATTTATGAATAATACAATACAATTAAATTGTACAACTAATTCTCATCGAATCATAACAATATTTTAAATATAAATACTAATTGTCTTTCAAAGCATAATAATCAATCTCAAAACATAAAATATTTATTTAACATCAAAACAAAAACATAATTCACTCATCCCACTCCTCAACACTAAATTTATACGAAACTTCAAATTACAATTGTGATTAGAGAGAAAAATAAAATGACTTACTTGCAGTCGAAAGATGAAGAGAATTCTTGAAATTGATAGAGATTATCTAATAATGAAAGAAATTAGGATTGTATTATATAATATATAAATAATTTCATGTGTTAATATATTAATTTAGAAAAAGAAAAAAAAAAGAAAAAAAAAAAAGGTAAGTAGAAAAGCTACAGTCGGCTGGAGATAGAAAAGGCAAGAAGATATTAATTCTTCTTGACTTGAGTTTATTACAATAAAGGGAAGAAAAAAAAACAGAAACTTGCGTGTTTTCTTTTTAAGTTTTTTTTAAAAACACTTCAATCGAAACGACGTCGTTTCATTACAATAAACCTTAAAAAAAAAACACGCGAGTCGTCTTCCTCGCAGAGCCGCAGCCAATTTGCAGACTCGCAAAATTTCTTCCGGTTCAGAGGTTCCAGATCTGGCGCTCCTTGCTCCGCCTTGCAACGCCTCCTCACGCCTTCCCCACGCTAAACGTGCAACTCGCGAAACAGCCGACCGCCTCGGGGCGTTTTCCTGCCGCCTCGCTCCGACGCGCGCGAAGGCATGCCTTTGAAAACACTGTTTTACCCTGGTTGTCAATTCAATTTTCTTTAAAATTAAGAGCCCTGATTTACAAATTACAATCCTCAATCCTGATTTTCATCGAATCATCTGAAGCTCTATTGGGGAGAAGCTCAATCTGATTCTTTTTGGGAGGGAACAAATGGGGCTTCTCAGCATCATTCGAAAAATTAAAAGGAAAGAAAAAGAAATTCGTATACTCATGGTGTAAGTGAAACTTCATCTCTCCCTCTCTTCCCTTTTGTTCACTCGTATGATATGAGAATTAAGTAATCGTTTGTTTGTTTGTTTTGTTTTGTTTGTGAAGTGGGCTTGACAATTCCGGCAAGACTACCATTGTGCTCAGGATTAATGGAGAGGACACCAGTGTTGTCAGTCCCACACTCGGCTTCAACATCAAGACCATCACTTACCAAAAGTAAGTGAACTACGCTTAACCCCAAAACATGATTTTTTTTTTTTTACATTTGTATTTGTTTGTGCCAAAGTGTTGTTATGAAAATAGTTTGTGGGTTAATCATATATAGAGATAGTTGGAATGCTTGGGGCTCTTATTAAGGACATTGGGTGTTTATTTTCTCAATTTAGGGGTTGTTTTCCCTGATTATTGACAACTGTTTATTTCATTGATTCGTTTTTAGACCATAAAAAACTCTAGCACCAATGCGATTTTGAAGTTTCATACTTTGTTTATTATGATATGGAAATTTGAAATGCTTGTAATTTGATCTTGGCAGGTATACCCTTAATATATGGGATGTCGGGGGACAGAAAACAATAAGATCTTACTGGAGAAACTATTTTGAGCAAACTGATGGTCTGGTATGGGTAGTTGACAGTTCAGATCTTAGAAGGTTAGATGACTGCAAAATGGAACTTGATAATCTTTTGAAGGAAGAGGTATATTTGCTTATTACTTCACTCGCTCTTTTTGTTTTTGTACCTAGTGTAAAATAACGCATTTGAATTTCTCGTTATTCATATACCTCCTTTAATGTACAATACGATTTATGTGCTGATCTGCAGTTACAACTTTTAGGATATCCATCTAGTATGTGAGCATGTTCTGAGTGTATCAACTCATGCTGCATTTTCTCGAGTCTTGTATGAGTGTATAACTGTTTTAACTTTTGCTGACTGTGAACTGATTAATTATGTATTTGAGATGCATCACTTGAAATTTTGGATAAGCAATCACATCCTCTTAAATAAACTTATAATGTTGCTGGTCTGGAATCCCGAAACGAATATCCACATGATAAGACCTAGGAAATGCTTTGAGGAGTTTTACTTGCGCTTGTGAGTTATGACCATTATTTTGGTCAAATGTTCTAAAGAAGCTGACTTGTTTTGATGATATGACAGAGGCTATCTGGATCATCCTTATTGATACTAGCAAATAAACAGGACATAAAAGGTGCCCTTACTCCAGAAGAAATTGCTAAGGTAAGGCTCTAGGTCAGCGTGTATATACACATAGGATTAATTTGTGAATGTAGCCCTGGTTTTGTTTTGCATGCTTTTATTGCCCATAGACAGCTTTATTCGTTGTCTTGTTATGTTGCTTTAGATTGTTTATTCACTTGTCTTATTGTCTGGATGACAAATGCAACAACGGCATGGGTTTTACTCATCATGTCCGTGGAGTTTATATGCAACAATGTTATGTGAAATCTTTCAAGGATTTTTGGTACATGGTCGAAACAATTTATATACAAATGAAGATGAGCATTGCCTTTAAAATTCTGAGTTTCTGAAACAGTTATGTATTATACTTCTGTCTAGGTTTTGAACTTGGAGGCGATGGATAAAACTCGGCATTGGGAAATTGTTGGCTGCAGTGCATACACGGGAGATGGACTGCTTGAGGGATTTGATTGGTTGGTCCAAGATATTGCCTCTCGGATCTATGTGCTGGACTAATGCCTATCTTGAGTATTTTATTTTTGGTTGTGTTTTGAGTGATTTTTCATTGAGGTGGACAGTTATCTTGGTATTTATGGAAGCTGAATGGAACTTTAAGAGTTTGAAGCAAACTTTGCTGTTAAAAGTGAGAGGGAAAATGCATCGTTGTAGTTGTAGGCCTTGTGTAGATAATCAAATATTTTAAAAATACACTAGCACTCTCTTTCTTTTCCTACAATCATTCATACATGGTGGAAGATTACCCGCATTTGGTTGGTCTTAAGCAAAAGACCTTGTTTACAGACTTCCTCATCTTGTCCTCATTTTGTATCTTGTTTACTGCTGCTACTGGTGCCCAGGGGCCACGACCACTCCATCCTCGTGATATCTGCGTAACCCTAGCTTCGTAATTCGTAGGCCCAGCCCAGCCCAATATCATGTGGGCTTCGATTTGTTCATGAAAGCTAAATTACGCAATTGAGCTCGTAGTTGTATGCGCTACTTTATTCTTTCACACGGAGTCATTCTCTCTAACCGTTGGATCAAACTATCCAACAGGGGAATATGAGAAACAAAGTAACTTAACTGGTCCACTGGGTCCGAGGTCGTTTAGGCTTGTCCCATCCCATTAGATCTTCCCAAGCCCAACCCATCCCATGGGTTATTTTATGTAAAATTATATAATTGCCCCTCTCCTCGTCACGGCCTCCAGTCCGGTTCCAGGAAAGCGTAGCGGACGTGGCGGACACTAATTGGCTAGAACAACAATTCGCTAACGGTGATTGGCCAATTTGGAGGAAAACACGTCGCAAAATGCAAATGGAAGCAACGACTTGACTTACACAATACAATTGAATTGACGAAGTGAGCGAGCGATTGGGAGTGAATGAGTGTCCTCCTTCCTTGCTGTTACCTGTTGCCTGTTTTGTTGTTGTGTTGGATAGATTATATCAATTAAGTAAACCAACAAACGAACTCAACCTTGATCCACCCATCCATGCCTGCCCAGGTCTCAGGACGAGAGGAGGCCGACTGACTGACGACGACGACAGACGACTGACCTAGAGTTTAATTTGTTTCCTAGAATTAGCAGTTGGCTTAAATTCATTCATAAATTAATTAATTGGAGATCCAGTTAATTTGAGCGCCAAAATCAGATCTTGCAATGGCGCATCAGAGAACCAAGCTTATTTTCCTGTTGCTGGTGTTGTGCGCTCTCTGCTATGCGTTCGCCGCCATTGCAGGGAAGAGCTATTATGAGATACTCCAAGTCCCCAAGGGAGCCTCCGACGAGCAGATCAAGAGGGCTTACCGAAAGCTCGCCCTCAAGTACCATCCTGATAAGAACCAAGGCAATGAAGAGGCTAATAAAAAATTCGCCGACATCAACAATGGTGCTTCCTTACTTACTTCTATTCCTTCTCCTCCTAATTTCTCTTCCATTCTTCACTTGTTATTGACTTCCTCTTCTTTTCTTCTTTTGAAAATAATTAGCCTACGAGGTGCTTTCGGACAGCGAGAAGAGGAGCATATACGATAGGTATGGAGAAGAGGGGCTGAAACAGCATGCCGCTAGTGGAGGCAGAGGTGGCGGTGGAATGGGAATGAACATCAATGACATCTTTGCCGAGTATGTTTCCTTTCCTTCTTCATTCCCCTCTTCTTCTGCTTTAATCAGATATTTGAATTACAATACATTCCATATAATTCCTCATATCAGCAATATCAGTTCAAAACTTTAAATCTAGAATTTTCAGATTTAATGTCTCCTTTCTTTATTAATATGGACTATGGACTAAGAACTATGAGCGAGTTTAATTACAGACTTAAAAGTAAGGTAGCTCTAATTGCATATTTGTATAGTAGCTCAGCTCACTTTGTAATTTTGAGGACATCTCAGTTCTTTTTGTTTTACTTTTTAACAACTTAAAGGTTTCTTTTAGTTTTTTTGGTGGGCGCTCTATGGAAGACGAAGAGAAAATCGTCAAGGGTGATGATGTAGTTGTAGAATTGGATGCAACATTGGAAGACCTCTACCTGGGAGGCTCATTGAATGTAAGACTCATGTCTCAATTATGAATATGCATGACTTCCAGAATCTGAAAGATATGAAGTTGTTCACCTATGCAATTTTAAAATGTCATCATATACTACACTTTCACTTACCACATTTGAATAATCCGAATTATGGGCAATAAGCATATCAACCTTGCCTGAAAAGGTTATACTGAAAATCATTGAAGTTTTAGTGATCGCCAATAGCATGACATCATAAGTTTATTTTTGTGTTTCTGTACACACACACACACACTCTCTCTCTCTCTCTCTCTCTCTCTCTCCATCCCTCACTGTGATATGATCTGATTTTCTTTGTGTTTGTTCTGACATCTTTCTGCTATGTTCACTACATGCAAGAGAAACCATCTTTCCAAGCCTGTAAGCTATGTGATCTTTTCATTTATGTGTGACTTTGTACATGGCATTATCAGGTTTGGAGGGAGAAGAACATTTTAAAGGCAGCACCAGGCAAGAGACGTTGTAATTGTAGAAATGAGGTCTATCACAGGCAAATCGGTCCAGGGATGTTCCAACAGATGACAGAAGAGGTATGTGCTTCAACAAACATTTCTTCCAACAAATTCTTCCAAATTCATTTATTTCTTATTAGGGAAAAACGACTTTTGAGAGGATGATAATTTCTTTAGGCTGCATAAGAAAATGTTGTTCCATTATTGGCAACACATCTGTTGCCTCTGAAAAAAGCCGTTTGTAGTCCTTCATTATTGTTTGTAGGCTGCGTTCACAAGCATGTCCATCTAGTCTGCATAGACTAATTTCTTTTTCTGTCGCATTAACAATTACTTTGACTGGTTATGCTACTACCTTTCTTACATACTTTATTATGGCTCTTACAGGTCTGTGAACAATGTGCTAATGTCAAATATGAAAGGGAGGGATATTTCATCACTGTTGATATTGAGAAAGGGATGCAAGATGGGCAAGTAAGCTTTCGTTCTTCATTTCCCTTTGCAAGCTTTAGAGTTTATTTTTCTTCGAATTTGTTTATGTCAGTAGATTATCTCGTCCCTGTGTTTCCATGTATCCTCTCATATGTATTGTTATATGTTGGTGTTTTAAATATGAAATATATGCTGTTGTTCTGAGTAGTAGCTTTCTTGAAATATCTTGAATGATACTGTCTTCTGTCCATACTTGTAGAATTGAAAAACATTTGCTGTGATGAGTATAATTTGTTCTGATTAGAATGAGAAAAAAATTATGCTTTTAAACAGGAGGTGGTTTTCTATGAAGATGGTGAGCCCAAAATTGATGGAGAAGCTGGAGACTTAAAAGTTAGTTCTTTGACCTTGCCACCTTGGTTTAGTAAATTGAAATATCCATGTGCCATGTTCTGAAAATAACTAACTACATTGCTTTTGCAGTTCCGTATCCACACAGCACCTCATGACCGATTCAGAAGGGAAGGCAATGACTTACACACAACCATCACTATCACACTGGTATGACTTGGATTAATTTCTGGGTTAGGTTATTGTTCTTATTAGTATTTAGTCCATCTGCCATCAAATTTTGGATGCAAAAAAGGTTCCAGCTAGCATAATTGGGCTTATTAGTTATTCCAGTTGACCTTGTCCTATGTAAAATTACGTTTTTGGTTCCATCTAGATTTGATTTCTTGGACCTTTATTGTATACAGGTTCAAGCTCTTGTGGGCTTTGAGAAGACCATCAAGCACCTTGATGATCATTTGGTGCACATCGGCTCAAAGGTCAGCAGCATTTACTTCCTTCCTAATAGGCTATAGCTGCAATATTGTCACGGAAAGGACATTATGTTTCTTTCTCGTTTATATATATATATATATATATATATATATATATATATGTGTGTGTGTGTGTATATATATATATACGTGTGTTTGAGTTAGAATGGGGAAAAAGATAAAGTTGAGGTGACGTACATATTATTATGTTGGTTGATAACGATGGCATGGCGCAGGGAATTACAAGGCCCAAGGAAGTGAGAAAATTCAAAGGGGAAGGGATGCCTTTGCATTTCAGCAACAAGAAAGGAGATCTGTACGTAACATTTGAGGTTCTATTCCCCACGTCACTAACAGAGGAGCAGAAGACAAAGATCAAGGCTGTTCTTGGTTAGGTGCCGTATAGGCAGCCTATAGGAGGATATATATATTTTTGTTAGTTCAGTTGAGATATGTTTCAATTGTAACATGATGATGAGATCTTCAGTACAGAAAGTTAAGAAAATTTAAGGAGGCCCGAGCTGCTACTTCTTTTTGAGCCCTGAGCCCCAGCTGAGCCCGAGTTTAGTGAAGTGAAAGGAGTAAAACATTTTACGATCATCTTGTAGTTGTAATATTTTCCCCATCTTTGTTACAGTTTTTGAGTTTAGCTGCTGCATTTAAATCCAATCCAACTGCCTTCCTGCCTGCCTTCCACCCACTTTAGGCACCGCTAAGTGAACTTTATTTCTATAAATTTTAGGGCTACCTAATATATTATTATATTTCTCAGCACCCTACCTAAAAAGGAAGCTGCAAGTGAAGAAGGGACGTTGTTTTGGACCGTGACAATGAGAATAGGTCAATGGTTGGTCCCCCTTGGCCCTTGCGGGAGGAAAAAAACTTACATGTAACAGGGATAATACTGTTTTGTTATTTTCAGCCAATAATACAATGACATATGGAAAAGTTATCTTATATGTCATTGCATTATTGATCGGGAATAACAAAAAGTGTTATTCCCGTCACATGAGAGTTTCTCTCCTTGTGAAGGGCATGCATCATGTATGCATTGTTGCTTAATCTTCTTGTTAACTGTCCTCCTCAGACCACAAGTTTCGGTAATTAGTTAGTTATGTTTGCTTGCTAGTAGTAAGTATTTCCAACTTCCATCTCCTCAATGAAGAATGGACTGAATTTTCACATGGAAAGGAAACCTCCTCTCAGCCCCTCAATGAAGGAAGGGGTCCCACTCCCAGCCCATGGCAGGCAGGCCAGGCCCAACATTAAGGAGGAGTCGTAGTCACCGTTATTATTGGCTAATAAATTGCTAGGGGAGGTCCAAGTCCACCAACATTACATTTTTACATTTATTATAGTTTAACCTTATGTGCCTCGCCTCGCCCTCGCGCTATCCGTGCAACAAATAAAAGGACAAATATAAAAATGAACACTTGATCAAAAGAAATTAAAGAAAGAAAAAAGAAGAAACACATTTCAAAATGAAACATTTTCGAGAACGCGACAGGTATTTTGGAGTAGAGTAAAGTACGTACAGGAGACGTATTCATTCGCTACTTTGCTGTTTTCTGTGTGTGCGTGTGTGCAGAGAGAAAGAGAGATAAGAGCTTTGCGGACACGTCACCCGTGGATATATGGGATTTTTCTATTTTAGAATTTAGCTGAATGACTAATAATAATGTGCATCCTCTTACGTGGCAAGTCTCCGATAGCTTTTCGAGTTTTAGTCAGAAACAGATAGGCAGATTACGTATAGAGACTCCAGAGAGAGAGAAAGAGAGGGAGATTTTGGGCCTACCACGCGCTTTCGTATGAGATTCATATTGAGATTGCTACCCATACCCATGCGAATGTGATGTGTCATCATAGCATAGCATGAGAGAGAACAAACAATTTATTCTTATTGGCTTCAATTTACATACATAACCAGTTAGTGAGTATTCCTATCAAAATCAAAATTATTTCAAACCAAAGCCGACTGATTCGTGAAGTTGGTGAGCAGTTCGGGTTTTCCAAACTACAAAATTACATGCCCAAACCACACCACCCACCCCCTCTCTCCCTTTTTATGTTTCTTTTGTTTTCTAGCTGCTTCTCTCCCCCTCTTTCTCTCTCTCATTTCCTGTAAAAGTAACAGAGACGATCCTATTTAAAACTCCAACACTCTGTTTGTAATTGAATAGCCTTTCAAGTTTGAGCTTTTATTTTAATCTATTTTTTTCGTTCACTTGTCTTGCAAACCAAAACCCCCCATAAATCAGAACAAGTGTATATAAAGGAGGAAGGAATAATCAGGCAGGGAGTCAGAAATGGATGGCCTTTGTTTGAAAACAACTGCGTCAGGGATACATGGGATACCTTCCACGATTTCAGCGGCTGCAGCGCTCGACATCCGTACCAACCCATCTCCATCTCAGGTGAGCGCCATTGGGAGATCCACCTCCACTGCCGGGGTAGACAAGTCCACTACAACCACGGCTCACAAGAAGACGACCCCCTTTTCTAGGTTCTCGTTCAAGCACCCCTTGCAATCTTTATGGCCTGGAGGATCAAGGGCAAGATCAAGAGCAAGAGGAGGTGGACCCACCTACAATGGGAATGGGATGCCTCTCGACGACGCCGACGCAGACGCCGTCCCTTTCGAGGCGGAGGAGGAGGAGGAGGGCCAGAGTGCGACAAGGGAGTCGGACGGTCAAAGTGGCAACTGGGTCTTGAAAATTTTGCACGTGAGGTCTCTCTCTCTGCGGAGAGGGAGAGAGGAACAGGGGGGTGGTAAGAGTGGTGGTGGTGTTGCAGAGCTTCGCAAGGAAGATGAGAAAACCGTGCTCCGTGATGACGGAAATGGGCCTGGCTCTGAGGGAGATGATGACGAAAATGATTGTTGTAAAGTTTCAGACGACGAAGATGATGCAGCGGCGGCTGAGTTTGATAAAGGTTCGTTCTCGAGGTTGCTTCGGAAGGTTTCGTTGGCGGAAGCGAGGTTGTACGCTCAAATGTCGTATTTGGGGAACTTAGCATATTCCATTCCTAAAATCCAGGTACGCACACACCATTTTCCTTCCCCTTCCCCTTCCCATTCCCAATTTGGTTTGTGTAAGATTCAGGGGAGAGATAGGGGCTTTTCTTTTGGGTGAACATTTAAGACCAACTTACAATTTCTGGTTTGATTTGATTTGATTTCCGTTGTTATGATGTGGATCTTTCATGTGGCTTTCTTTTTGGTTTGGCTTTATGAAATGATTCCTAATTTCAAACAGAACAATTTCACAGGGTAAAGAATGTTTGCTTTTCCGTGAGAATCCAGCAATTTTCTTCTTGTTTCAGATTTGATCGCCTGACCAATCAGTCAAATTAGGCCACCCTTTTTGAAATTCTACTTTTGTTTCTCTGTTTTTATAGAACGGATTTTTCATCTTTAATGTCTCCAAAATTTGTCAATCCTGCTCTTCTTTCTCGTAAGCCAAATGGGTTCATTCATAAGATCTTGTCATCTGAATTCTGGACATTCATTTAGAAATTGCGGGAAGGTTTTAGTTTATATATGAACTTTCTTTTCATAATAGCAGCGACCCAATATTGGTGCATCAAAGCTTAATCATGTAAATAAAATAGAATCACAGAAATTTTGTGTTCTGTTGATTTTTGGTTGGGGGTGGTGGTTTGCATTCTTTCCTCGCTTGAACACGTTATTGCATTCCTGATAACCTCAGGTTCATGATCTTTATCCTATGATATTGTTGTATTTTACTGTAAATTGGAGAATTACTCTTGAATATCATCTGTTTTTGTTGCTAAACCATCTCATGTATCTAATTCACCATTCAAGCTTTTAAATTCCCATATAAAGTTACATACATAAGAATTTAATTTTCTCTATTTTCAAATTCAGCCAGGAAATCTCCTAAGATGTTATGATCTGCGCTTTGTTACTTCGTCGATAGAGAAGAAGGAACTGACTGCTAAAACTGAGAAAGATCAAGTGTCAGCTGAAATTCAAGAAACAGAGAAAAACCTAGAGGAAGACAGGGAAGAAGATGCAGAAGGGAAGGAGCAAAAGAACAACGGATACCGAATAAGTGCATCTGCTGCGTATCAGATTGCTGCTTCTGCAGCTTCCTATCTGCATTCTCATACAAGGAGCATACTTCCATCCAAATGTTCAGAGGCTGAGGCTGAGGCTGATAAAGACTCACCTGAAGAAAGCAGTGGAAGAAGTGACGTTGTTAATAGGATGAACTCAGAAGTGGCTTCTTTAATGGCAACCACTGACTCAGTGACAGCTGTGGTTGCTGCAAAGGAAGAAGTAAAGCAGGCTGTTGCAGATGACTTAAATTCAACATGTTCATCACCTTGCGAGTGGTTTATATGTGATGACGATCAAAGAGGCACCAGATTCTTTGTCATTCAGGTATGTAGACTGATAATTTGTTTCATATTTACTCCTGCTATAGGTTTATAGGCATTTGCCAGAGGGCCCTGCCTTATGCTCTGTACAATATTTATGTATCTCAACTGCTTAAGCGTGTTGGGGCTTTTAGAATAATTTTCTTTCTATTAGCAGTTAAAACAAAGGGCACACATTGTATATTCAGATGGCTAGTTTTGCCATTTTTCCCAGTTATATGATTTACTTGTTAGCCCATTTTATTTCATAATATTTAGTATCTTTTCTATATTTGACTTTAAATCTTTTTTATTTGCAGGGTTCTGAATCACTGGCATCCTGGCAAGCAAATCTACTCTTTGAGCCCATTCAGTTTGAGGTTAATCCTTTTCACAAAATGTCTAGTTTTTCTAGTTTTAGTATCTACTCTGTTTGTTAGAGATGATTGAGAAAAAAACAAAGATGTTGATGCTTCAATTGAACTGTTCTGAGGGAGATTGATGAATGCTTTTAGGTGATTACTTATTGAATGCATCTGCTTTTTCTAGGGACTGGATGTGCTCGTGCATAGAGGCATATATGAGGCTGCGAAAGGGATTTATGAACAGATGCTGCCTGAAGTCCATGACCATCTCAAATCTCGTGGTGACCATGCAACCTTTCGTTTTACTGGGCATTCTTTAGGGGGAAGCTTAGCACTACTAATAAATCTCATGTTGCTTATACGACTTGAAGTGCCAATTTCTTCATTACTTCCTGTTATAACTTTTGGTGCGCCATCCATCATGTGTGGAGGTGATCAACTGCTTCGCAAACTTGGATTACCACGGAGTCATGTTCAGGCTATTATGTTGCACAGAGACATTGTACCCCGTGCATTCTCTTGCAATTATCCAAATCATGTGGCAGAGCTTCTCAAGGCTTTAAATGGGAACTTTCGGAATCTTCCCTGTCTCAATAACCAGGTAGAACTTGTACTGTTTCAGAAAGATCAAACCAGGAGAATAGAAGAACATTGAGTCAATTCTTTCATTTTTTCCCTGCATCTGATATATCTGATCATTTTTGTATTTTGAAAAACAGAAGCTATTGTATTCTCCAATGGGGGAGCTCCTGATTCTTCAACCAGATGAAAAATTCTCGCCAAACCATCACCTTCTTCCTTCAGGCAGTGGTCTATATCTTCTAAGCTGCCCGTTGTCAGATGCCAATGATGCAGAGAAGCAGCTCCGAGATGCACGGTTGGTATTCTTAAACTCACCACACCCACTCGAGATCCTAAGTGATCGGTCTGCATATGGTTCGGAAGGAACTGTTCAAAGAGATCATGATGTGAATTCGTACTTAAAATCTGTTCGTGAGGTGATTCGCCAAGAGCTTAACCAGATGAGAAAGGCCAGGAGACGGCAGCGCCGCAAGGTTTGGTGGCCCCTCGTAGCTGCCCGTAGTGTGCATGGAGGTGTGATTGTGGGAAGGCCTGTCGCATCATTCAATACGGGGCACGAGCAGTTCAACTTTTCTGGCATGCTACAAACGGGAAAAGAGTCGTTGAAACGGTTCAGTAGGCTGGTTGCATCGCAGCATATGCATTTGTTTGTGGTGCTTCTGGTACCTGTGCGACTGTTACTGTTGGGGGCATACAGCGTGATCAGTTTGCGGTGACCAGTGTGAGGTTGGCACGCAAGTGAAGTTTGTGATTACTTTGGCTAAGATAGTTGGAAAGGAACTTGGAAGGGTTGTGGGCATGGCTGGCCGGACAATTAGATGATTCTTTATTCATTTTTCTTCTTCTTTAAATAGAAAGCAATCCAATGATATGATCCAATTGTACATTTGTTTGTTTGTTTGTTTGTTTTTTTCACATTTTTGAGAGATGATAAATGTGAAGGTGGTATGTAAAGAAAATAGCATGACATCAATGGGGCATAGAAAGGAAATATTAGTGGTACTCAAAGATGTGTGTGGAGTTCATTTTGAGTTGGATGTTTATTTAGATACCGTATACCATAGAACTTGGTATGTATTTATGTTGTTTTCTTTTTGGCCTGAAATTCTTGTGAGGGTTAGCTCTAGTCTAGTGAAATTGATGCGACTCACTCAACAATGATCATTGGTCTGTACGTTTATCCAAGAGTGTAAGCAAAAGCAATAAGCAGTGTGGAAAAAGATTTGAAAACGAGATGTTTGACTGACTGACTGACGCACAAGTTTAACTAAAAAACATAACCAAATCATAAGCTAGAAGGGTACAAAATGATATGTAAATATGCACCGATCACTTATGTACACCATTTTGAGTCGGATTGAACGCGATGGGGTTGTGCGGACCATAGATATTCACTCAGGTCAGATTTAACATACAAAGTTCCAAATCCAATCCAACAAGTTGCAGACAGATAATAATAAAAGAGAAAATTCATTTCATATGAATGGATGCTATACTTTAGTGATATTCACGTTTACGCATGTGCAGAATCACATGTCAAAATTGAGGAGAGTAGTCAAGGAGAAGAAGAAGCCAGAGCACAAGTCAATTGGGTTGGGTTGGGTTGGGTTGGGTGGATGCATGACAAATTGACAATGGCATTGAGCTGGAGCTGGAAGTAGACAAAATAGGTGTCTGTATGCGTGTGCCAGTGCTGCTACTCTGCTACCCGGTCCAAAATGGCTGGGTAAAGTTCCTTCCTTCCCAATGCCCGCCTCTGCCTATCCATCCAACACAGCACTGCCCAGCCCAGCTGTTACGTGTTTGGGAAAGAATAATGTATTTGCCTATAGTATAGTATACATATATGACATATGTACATCAACAAATACATATATAATTTATAAATGTGAGTACACACTGACAACAAAATGTCTACACATTACAGTATACGTACTTACTATACCCGCCTTGAGTTGAAATTACAGGTTTTCTTCCACTCAAATGCCCGAAATATAGTTGCAAGTTTTAGATTACATATTTAATACCAGTTAAGTTAGGCAGTTACTTAGTTAGCACTGCCATGTCATCTATTGTTGGGTATCCTTTCTTTTGAAAAAGAAAGAGCTAAAAGAAAGAGCTAGGCTGCAAATGCTATTGTTGAGTATCCTTGTAAAACTAGTGTGAGAGACATTCGGAAGATTGGAGATGCCTCAGACGGTGCAGACAGAAAAACTGAATTCCATACATGTTAATGTCAATGATTTTAGCATGTAACCAAATCCAATTTCAGTTTAGCAGTGATTGTTATTACTGCTAAACTAAAAGAAACAGTTTTGGGCTATTCCCATCTCATTCAGTAATTAGTAATTACTGATAGTCAATATAGGGCCAGGGCAACGGACTCCGGCTGACGCATGAGTTAAAATAACTAAACAATAACGAAAGTATATCATCTTCATTATAAACTCACATTTCCATTGGTCATATCATATGACACACTGCTTAGAGCATTATATTTCATAGACAAAAAGGAGATAATCAAATTCTTGTACATATAACGTTGAATCAAACTGAGAAGAAAGCATAGAGAGCCCTACTACTTTATTCAATCCCCAATCCCCAAACAAAAGGAAACTTGGGGTTTTTTTTTCTTCTTCTTTTCCTTCCTTGTTTTATTTGGTTACAGATTAAGTTTACTAGCCAAGTACCATGAGTGCATAGCAAGGCTGCCAAAGGCCATGATGTTGGCTAGAGATGATAACCCATGAATCATCCCAAATTTCTTATTCATGGCTGCTAGTTTTGGGTTTACCTTTGCCACTTGCACATTTTTCGACCATCCAACTTCTTCCCCAATGTTCTGTTCCCTCTCCACCTTATGCCTTTGCTTCATCATCTGCACCACAATTACAATTAACAGAGCACCATCACATGCTGCTATACGTTTATGTGCAATCAGAGCAGTTTCTAGTTATGATCGAAACAAATTACCAGTCTCATTGTTATATGCGTGTCAGCTACTAACGAAATGTAACCAAATAAACACACAAACAGGTTTTTATTATCATATATACACATGTTTGGTAAAGCAAGCACTAATTTGAATTTGAACCTAACACACAGAGTCACAGATTGGTTTTAGTTTTGCTTGTCGAGAGACAAGAATGAAAAATCTGGTAGCTAGGCTAATATTTTGTCAAGTTATGGAATAAAATGCACATGATTTAGCAATTATCAAGTAGCAAGTGGAAGTGGCAAGTGGCAATTAGCACTCAGCAAGTAGCAAATAGCAAGCAGCAAGTAGAAATTAGCAAGGAGCAATTAACAAAGATACATTAAAAGAAGGAAAGAGCAGAGAGTAAAAGTCACCTCGACGGTCATGGGTGTGAAGACGAACAAATTGGTGAGATTAAAGGCCAAGGAAGAGAGCAAAAAGCCGAGCTGGTACTTTTCAGCAACAGAAGAAGAGTTCCAGGGATGCAAATACCCAAACGAGGCTACTGATACTGCACAGCAGATCCCCACCATTGAGAAATACGCTGGAAACATCTTGCTTTGAAGATTACCAAACTGATGCCTCGGAAGATTCCTAATTTCAATAATAACCACAAATCCCATCCCATCCAATCCAAATCAATTTCCTTCCAAGAAAACTGAAAAAAAAATGGAAATGGAAAAAAATGAGGTGAAGAAAATAAAAGGTGACCTACTTGAACATGATGATGCCGCCGATGAAGGTAACCCAGAGAGCCGCACCGAAAGCGGTGGAGAAGGTGAGGAGATGAGCCAGTTTTAGGTAGGTGGAGAGGGTGGGTGAATTCGGACCATCCGATTTGGATCCAAAGGTCTCCGGGGAGAAAATCACTCCGATGGCTAAGAAAGCCACGGCTGCTAGGAATCGAGTCAACCAAGCCATCTCGCTCTATTCAAATTTTGCAAACCCAAAGGCTTTTTTATTTTTCAGGGTTTTAGTGGTTTTGGAAGGAAGACGAGAAGACGAGAAGACCACCAAACCCAACAACGAACGATTGAACTCGATACAAGGACTCCGGACCCGTAAGCAAAGCTTACCAACTAAGTACTGCCAGTGCCACCCAGCCTCACTCTTCTCTTCTCTTCTCCCGGAGTTGATTGAAATTGTCGTCGAATAAATGGAATGGGTCTTACTCATTGATGACCCTTGGATTTACCAAACTTATCCAGCGGGCGGTTGGTGATTCACCTAACACAAAGTTTAGTTATCATGGGCTTCGGTTCGGGCTTCGTGTTGTTCGTCTTCTCTCGTAGGCAGTGACACGTGTTCAATATCCGTCATGCCGTAGATTCCACGTGGAGCACTCACGCAATTTAGTCCTCCCTCCCGCCACTGGACCAAAATCACAATATAGTTTGAGTTCCGTCCCTTCTCTCTCCCGCTTTTAGTTACCAAATATGATCACAAAAAATATTAAATTAATAACCTTGTTTTTTTGGCCAAGCATTAATAATAATAGTCAATTCATTTCGTTTGCCTAAATACTTCCTCCACAAGTTTTGTTTTAGTTTTAGGCTCTTGAATCACTCATCATCACACCTCACCTTGTTCTATCTTCTTGAGGTTAGATTAGGTCAGGCATTTGGTTTGTTTTTTGTTTTCATTTTGGGTGTGAGAATGTGAATGTGAAAATGTCTCATATTGGAAAGTTATAAAACCTTTGCAAGGGCTTATGTGTTTGGGCTACTTCTCAGCCCTTAATAGGTTTCTCAACTTTTCAATGTGGGACATTTCACTTTTATATTCTCACATGCCCCCACACATGGAGATGTATATTAGTTCGAAACCAATACAATTTTACCAATCCGCATATGATCCAATATAGATTGAATTACGATTTTTTCAATACAATCCGATTCGATCCAATCAATATTGAATTGGATCGGAGGTGATTGCACTGTTAAACAAGTGCAAGGTCATGATTGCACTGTTAAACAACCACAAATACTCATTTGGGCTCCGGACAGAAATAGCAGATAACGGTTTCATTATGGGTTCGGACTTGTTATCATTTGGGTTTCTGGGCTCCCTTCTCGTAGGCAGTGACACATGTTCAACATCTGTCATGCGGTAGATTACACGTGGAGCACTCCCACAATTTAGTCCTCCCGCCACTGCACCAAAATCAAAAAATGAGAAAAGAAAACAGAATTTGAGTTCCCTCCATCCCTTCTCTCTCCCGCATTTTTTTTTATAGATAAACCAAAAACAATAATATAATAATAATTTCATTTCCCCCAATTAGTCAGTCTGTCTTCCTCCCCAAGTTTCGTTTTGGGCTTTTAGCGAGAGACGACAGAGCAGAAAGAAGCATTTGTCTTCTCCAGCCTTTGAATCACTATCACACCTCACCTTGTTTTATTTTTCTAAGGTTAGGTTAGGTTAGGGTAGGCTTTTGGGGATGAATTAGGTGTATAACTTGTGAGAGAGAGAGAGTGTTGAGATTCAGATTTCAATGTCGGAGGGCAATTCTCCGTCGAAAACGTTTCTCGGCGTCCGTTTCATTCTCTTGGGATTCGACCCCCTTCACGAGCAGAAGGTCCTCCTTCCTCCCCTCTCTCTCTCTCTCTCTCTCTCTCTCTCTCTCTCTCGTACAAGTTACAAGTTAGAAATTTCAAATTTCCATGTATTACAGGTATATGATGTTATGCCCTTGTTCACTTTTGTGTTAATTGATATGGCGTAGGTTCGATCTAAGCTTGTGGGTTGTGGCGCGGTGGATGTCGGCCACTATTCCCTGAATTGCAGTCATGTGGTTGTGGATAAAACTGTGTTTGTAAGTCGATTTTCTTGTCATTGCTTCTCAAGTTACAATTTTGACGTTTTAAGTTTATGCTACTATATGTTTGCTCCTACAATTTTTGTTATTATTGAAATTTAATACTGTTTTTGCATTGGAATTGTACGGTGCGTAGGATGATCCCATATGTGTTGCTGCCCGAAATGACGGCAAAACACTTGTCACGGCTTTATGGGTTCATCACAGTTTTGATGTCGGAGTGCCCGTTGAGTCTACTTCTGTGAGTTTTCTATCCCCTCTTTCTCACTCTGATTTGCCTTATCATTTTACAATCATACCATTCATTCTGCCCCTTTATTTTGTTTTTCCGAATCTAGCTTCTTCAACATGTCCCCATTCCCAGTGACGCTTGCCACTTATTCATTTGACTAATACTGTAAGCTAAGCAATGTTTATTAAGAACGCATAGCTTTAAAGCATTTTCACGAAATCCGTATATATTACTATTTGCATACTGTTTTGTATTTATAATAGTCGTTTGCACAGATTATATACAGACCTCTTAAAGATTTGAATGGTATTCCGGATGCCAAGAGTTTAATTGTATGCTTGACTGGATATCAGCGACAAGATAGAGATGACATTATGGTACACATTTCTACTTTTTTGTAACTTCTGATACAGGCCCTATTGGAGAGTTGTTTCATGAGAGTACCCTGTCTCATGATTTCTTTCTGTTTTCTTTATCAGACAATGGTGGGTTTAATGGGTGCTCAATTTTCTAAGCCCTTGGTGGCTAACAAAGTCACTCATCTCATATGCTACAAATTTGAGGGTATGGTTTTCTTTTATTTCCTGTGATGAATTCTTCTTCAGCTCTTTACATTTTGTACTTCTATGTCAAAAGTGCTTAAATGGTATAGAACAACTCGTTGTTATATCTGAAGGGGAGAAGTATGAACTTGCCAAGAAAATCCCAAAGATAAAGCTGGTCAACCATCGCTGGTTGGAAGATTGGTAAGTTCATGTTTTCTTCATTCTCTTATGTTTTCAAATTCTGATATTAGGTGATGTGTTTTCAGAATGTTACAAAAAGAAAAAGTTGCCACCACTATGAATTATTATTATTTCCGATCTAAGATCCTTTATAAATGCTTCAGCTTAAGGGATTGGGCGCTCCTTCCTGAAGATGATTATAACAAGAGGTGAGTTGGTTGTGTGTACACTTTGGAAATAAATTGTTCTTTATAGGTCTGCCAATGTTTGTGCTGAACTCTCACTCTCTCTCGACAGTGGCTATGAGATGGAGATGATGGAAGCTGAGGCTAGAGATTCAGAAGATGAGGCTGAAAACACCATTATGAAGCAATCTGGGGGGAGAAACATGCATAAGAGTCCTCTTAATATAAAAAGTCCCCCAGCAACATCTGCGATGCCTAAGTCAGAAGGAAACGTGCCTAAGGTTCCCATGAATTTTTATAATGCTATGGACCATGTATTGATTCCTCAGAATGAGAATAAATTAGGTCAAGCCTCAAGCTTTTCTAGTGCTTATGTTTCCAACGGAGTAAGCTGTCAGAATGCATGCAAATTTAGGGATGGTACAGATGGTGAGCTAAATGACCTACATCACAGAACTCCAGATCCTAAGGTGAGAGATGATTTGACATCTAATTTTGGAACTGCTGAAACGCCTGCTCATTCTGCTAGGACCCTAAGCTACTCAAGGCAAACCCCATTGAAGTCAACACTTCCACTGCACGTGGGAGATAAATCAAGCAATGGAAGTGTGTCTTCTAAAGTACCCATTTGCAAATCAAATGCCAATTTTGGTTTAGCCTCTTATACCTTTAAGGCAGATCAAGAAAATAACAAAATTGACTCCAGTTGTGTTGAAGTCCCCTTAAAAGGAATTCATTCACAGAATGGAGAAGAATCAAGTGGTATATTGCCTCGGAAAAGGACGATGGATCTTTCTTATGGTAGCTCCAAATCACAGAAGATGAATCATGATGCAGAAGCAGGCATTATTTGTAGTCCTTCATCAAGTGATAAATCTCCAAAAGTAAAGCCAACATCTATGGTTGATGGTTCATATGAGACTACTAGCCATTATGTCATCAGAAATGATGACCGCTCTCTGGATAAGACTGGCAATTTGAGTGCTGTAGAAAGCTCATATGCTGGTATTTCACCAACCAAATCATCTACTGTTATCCGGAAGCCATTGGCATGTGATCTGCCTTTCTCTGCAACTGTGACCTCTGAGACAGCGGAAGATGGAAATGGCAACAAGAAAACACCTCTAACCACTTTTCAAAGATTAAGAAAGTCCAGCTTATCCAGCAAGCCTGGTATTGTAGATTGTGTTGTGGAAAAACTGACATTTGCAGTCAGCAAAACAGTGGAACTGCAAAATCAGCATCAAGATGTTGAGGGTCTGTCTTCAAATAACAAAAAGTCAGTGACTAGTAATTCCAACGACCCTGCTAGTTTGAACTTGCTTAAAGATGGAAATAATCACTTAGATACAAAATCAGTAAGCAAGAGGATGATTTCCAAGAAGATCCTGGTTTCTAGGCCTAAGTTAACTTCTGCTAACCAAAAGGGGTCTGTGTGCTTAGGTGAAGATGCCTCTTTAAATGATACCACTTTTCATTTAAATTCAGGGGACCATGAGAAATCCCCTGGTGCTATGAAGCTTGACATGCTTTATCCAGGTGCTGCTGCGGAACCCCCAAAGGAGGTGGAGGGAAAAGATGTTACCATGACTGCAGATGTTGCTGAGAATAATGTTCAATCTATGGATGATGAAACTGAGGCTCCTGAGGAAGAAAGTGAACATAAGTTAAAGAATGTACTTCATGAAGCAAAGGCTATAGGGGTTCAATCCACAAGTAAATGTATCACTACCAAAGAGAAATCAGAAGGGATGCAGCAGATATCGGATCACTCTGATGCCTGTGTTCATGGTGATGCAATGGCCTCAGCAGAAAATACAGATGGAAATGAACGAGAAACGACAGTTTCTGACAGGATTTCCTTGCTGGTTGAGTCAAGCTCAGAAGGAGACGGTGTCAAAGGAAAGAAGAACAAAGGGAAAAAGCGTGATTTGGGTAAAACCAAGTTTAAAGCTGTTCCTGCTGTGGCTGATGTCATGAAACCTAAGAAATTTGTCTCTGAGGAAGATACTCAGAATGAGAATATTGGGGAGACACAGAAGGAACCGGAAAAAATAGTAGGCAAATCTAAGCGCCATAGTGTGCCCAAAAATAAGTTAGAGAACTCTTCCAAAATGAAGGAAAACAGGCCAATTGTTTGTGGGGATCAATCTGTAAGTACGGCCGAACAGCAGGCAGGAAAATCAACGGAAGATACTCAGAATGAGAATATTGGGGAGACAGAGAAGGAACTGGAAAAAATAGTAGGCAAATCCAAGCGCAGTAGTGTGCCCAAAAATAAGTTAGAGAACTCTTCCAAAATGAAGGAAAACAGGCCGATTGTTTGTGGTGATCAATCTGTAAGTACGGCCGAACAGCAGGCAGGAAAATCAACGGTTAAATCTAATATAACTCCATTGAAGATAAATCATTCATCTGTAGAGATCAGTCCTAATTCTTCAATACCAGAGGGGAAGGCTCCAAGCAACATTAAAACTGAACCTGTATGGTTTATTTTGAGTGGGGCCAAATTTCAAAGAAAGGACTTTCGGCAAGTTATCAGGTGTTTGAAAGGAAGATGTTGCCGTGATTCTCATCACTGGTCTTACCAGGCAACACACTTCATAGCTCCAGGTCCAATAAAGAGGACAGAGAAGTTTTTTGCTGCTACAGCATCTGGAAGGTACATACCTTATATCATTACTGAGGCCCTTAAGGTCCTTTTTCTTGAGATGTTTTGGGTCAGCTAATTGAATTTTTCCAGTGCAAATGGATGGTTTAATGTATTCTATGTGAAGTGCAGGTGGATTCTTAGGAGTGATTATTTGGCAGCTAGTAATCAGGCAGGAAGATTTTTGGCAGAGGAACCTTATGAATGGCACCAGAATGGCCTTAGTGAAGACGGTGCAATCAATTTGGAGGCTCCAAGGAAGTGGCGGCTCTTGAGAGAGAGAACGGGCCATGGTGCCTTCCACGGAATGCGCATTATCATATACGGTGAATGTATTGCACCACCTTTGGTATGTGATATTTCCAAATTTAGTTTCATGTTTTACATTTTTCTGATGCGGAAGCCTTAAATTTTGCCAAAAAAAATTAGACATCTTTCAGAAATTTTTTTTTCATACGGATGTGGGATATTATTGCCTGAAATGGATTGAAAGCTGACCAGATAATAAGTTTTGTCCTGGTTGATTCATAAGCCATTGTTAACCAGTATATGCATAATGCACTTCTCATCTTCAAACAGGATACTCTGAAGCGTGTTGTGAAGGCTGGTGACGGGACAATATTGGCAACTTGTCCTCCTTACACTCGATTTCTCGACTCGGGGGTTGACTTTGCCATTGTCAGCCCAGGCATGCCACGGGTTGATATGTGGGTACAAGAGTTCTTGAAACATGAGATACCTTGCGTTGCAACAGATTACTTGGTTGAGTATGTGTGCAAACCTGGGTACCCACTTGAAAGACATGTGCTGCACAATACTCATGCATGGGCAGAAAATTCGTTTGGGAGGCTGCAGAGGAGGGCAGAAGAGATTGTCGAAGACGTTTTTGCACCTCAGGATAGTTCTGGTAGTAGTGATATACCTTGCGTGGTTTGCGGATCTGTAGAGAGAGGAGAGGTGATGCTGATATGTGGCAACGAAAGTGGTTCTGTTGGCTGTGGGGTTGGTACTCATATGGACTGCTGCAATCCGCCACTTGAGGATGTTCCGGAGGGTGATTGGCTTTGTCCAAAGTGTAGTCGGAGCAAAAACAGCACCAGCTCTTCCAAGAAAAGGAAAAAGGGTTAGAGCAAATGATTGTTCACTCATCCCGGGTGCAATTTAATTTTGGTTTTGTAGATTAAGTTATGGAGTCTGTAGATTGATTAGCAATGCATTATTGTCAATTGCATCCTTTTTTTTCCTTTTCCTTTTTTCTGTTTACAGTTGGAGCCTTATTATTAGTGACTTGTATAGGGGGTGTTGAAATTACAGTTTAATTTCGGAGGTGTGATTGTACGATGGCTTGATATGATGAATGCACAAAAGTTGTTTGTGCAGATGCTCTAACGCGCAACGTGGGAAAGGCAGTTGTTTTTGGTTTATGCATTGTTGTCAATGGCCGGGTCGGGCTAGCCCAGCCTAAAGTTTATGTGCTTGAGCTGGGCCGAATTTAATGAGGAGAGATAAAATATCAGGCTGGGTCGGTACAAATAATTCAAAGCTCAGGCTCATTCTAGGGGCTTCGGCTTTCTCAAGCCTATTGAGTTAGATCGAGTTGGGTCGAAATGGGCTTACTACATTTTTTTATCCGTATTTTTTGTTCCTCTTTTCTTATCTTCTTTTTCTATGTTTTTACGTGTTTCCTATTTAACTATATTTATATTCCCCCCTTTTCTATTTTTAATAATGTTCATAGTTCCCTTAGGCAAAAATAATTAACAATCCAACATTCATCAACGAAACTCCAAAATGCAGCATTCATTAACGAAACTTCAAAATGCAGCAATTCACTAATGTAACCCCAAAATGCAAAAATTCATTAATGAAACCCTAAAATGTGACAATTCACTAGTAAAGTTCAAAAATACGAAAATTTATTTGCGAAACTTCGAAATGCAAAAATTTATTTATAAGCATCCAAAATGCAAAACTTCATTGGTGAAACCCCAAAATGCGAAAATTTATTAATGAAATTCTAAATTGCAAAAATTCATTTGTGAAACCCCAAAATGCAACAATTCATTTGTGAACCTGGAAAATACAAAAATTCATTTGCTTAACACCATAGGCGAAATTTCATTTGCTAGACCCCAAAATGAGAAATTTCATTTCGAAACCCAAAATGCGAGAATTCATTTGCGAAATCCCAAAATATGAAATTTCATTAATGAAAACCACTCTTACTCCTCGCCTTCCCTTGTCTTCTCTTCGACTCAAATGCCTTATTGCGTCCAGGCTTGAGAAATATTATGGACGATCCATATGATGATGATGAGGGTATTCTCTCATTTTTCTAAATAGTTCAATAATATAACAAATTAATTAATAATAATTCTGAAAAAGAATAGACTAGAGCATAAGAGTAGTGTACTGATTCGTAGATCAAAGTTAATAATTTAAAAAATAGTATGAATGATAAAAAGTAGGAGGGGTGAGCGAGAAAGTCTCTGACTAGGGAATAGAATAAATAAAGTATAAAGATAATATAACAGTACGGGGAATCAATAAATAAATAAATGGTGCCCTCGTGAGAAGCAAAGCAATGCAATGCAATGCAAGCCCACCCTTTCTTTCGCCGCAAGAAAATATACTTTTAATTAAAATGAAATGAGGAATTGAAAACAATTAATATAGCTTCTGAGGCTGAAATTGTGAATGTGAATGTGAGTGGATCTTACATATATATATATATATATATTCATGAGCCTGCTGCTATTACCCTGTAAGCCTGTAGCAGCAGACAATCAATCACTAGCAACTTAGCTACGCTGATCATCAAGAGAGATACAGATGTGCGTGCGAGCTAGGCATGTTTAAATTCCACTTCCCCACCAATGGGCAAGTGGGCATTCGTCAGTATTTTAATTTCTCTTTTTGTTTTCTTAGAGAATTGTTTGTTTGTTCTTTTTAATTCATAGCTACGCTGTGGATGCTGCAGAGTCACGCGGAACTAAGAATAATAGAATTCCAGCCAGCAATGGCCACATAGTTTTAGTTTTAGATGGGATTCACCATTCATAGAATTCAAACAGGAAAAAGGTTTTCTTTTCTTTCTGTTTTGAAACTGGCAAAAGTAGGGTTTGAGACAGACACACTGTCACACACAGCCAACCGGCAGCTAATTAGAACATGGAATGGAAGTGGGTTGTCATAATTAGAACATGGGGTGTTTTGCATCACATCATCATATCATCTGTGTTTTTATTTTACCAACCATTTGCAATTTTGCAGAAATCGAATTTCACTACCTACTTTTCACTTTGTCTTAACAAAAGCAAGATGTTAATCAAGAGCGCGATTACAGGCTCGCTGATCGTTGTTTGATTTTCAACGCCCAAGACCCAAGAGCATGTGGCAATTATCCAAATGTCCCTACCCTACGTACGTATCCTCATCAGTTTTTATATAAAGTTTCCATCCATCTCTCTTTCGCAATTGCAAAACTTAGTGCATGCAGATCTTTAGATTATCGATAACTGGAAATCTCATGTGATATAATTGGGATCGTCTTGGGTCATGTGTTTCTTCAAGGTGGAAGCCAAAGTGGAATGAGTGGGAAATGCTACATTGCACCCAACTTAATTATGTGTTAATTTCTTAGTGGGCCCAAACATAATACAAAAAAAATACTATGACATCAAATATAATAATTTAGTGGCCAACGGGGCTTAACTCAGTTGAAATGACATTAACTTGTAGAGAATGATCCCTGTAGTTTGCCTCTTTTTCATTTTCATGATAAAAGGAAGAGACTCGTATTGCAAGGAACAAAAAAATGAACTCTTCCTAAATGCATCAGCGCCATGACTTGTGTAAATGGTCTGTTGGTGTTAGGCAGCCCTTTAATCATGAAAGTGAATCTAATGAGTTATTTTTAGTTCAACTTTAACCACCACTTACATAGCTCACTTTAGTCAAGATAATTATTGTAAATGTAAACATTAATGACTCTATTAGCTTTTTTATTTTTTTTTATAGAAAAAATCGTATTTTATTAAACCGAAAGAAACATTACAAGGTAAGAACTATAATGTTAACGGTGGCCTCATTAAAACATTCCCAGAGAAAACAAAACCCTGGGTAAGAAAGAGTACCACCCATTCTATTGACTAAACAGAAGAGTCAAACAACTTATACGAAACAGACAAAAACCTAAAACCCAAACACAAAACCCTTAAAACAACATCTCATCACTACGTAGGTATACTGTTAAAGAAGTCATCCTATGATTTCGAGAAAGCATCATAATTCTTCGTACAGAGTCAAAAATGTAATATGGGTATCATAATAGATCCAACCAATTACCCAACCGCAAAACCATTGAAACACATCCCATCACTATGCATATATTGTCAAAGAAAGCCTCCTATCATCTAAAGAAAGCATTATAGTTCTTTGTACATAGTCAAAAATGCATTGTGAGCATCATAATAGATCCAACCAAACACCAACCGCCACCTCCAATTTTCTTGACCCATAACCCTAGTTGACAAGCAACGGAGATCAAGATTGACCTCTTAGCCTAAAGAAATTTTCGAAGAAAGATCTTCATAGTAGGAACGTTCATTGGTTGCCAAGCCCACAAATGTTTCATAGAAGAATTATTAGGAAGACCTTGGAGACCCCTCGAGGCTGGTCTTCTCCGCCTTGTCAACAAAATTCTCGATACAAAAACTACGCTTACCAGAAAAAACCATGCCACTAACAATCAAATGCCTAAGACTAGTTTCCGCACGCTTTTGATTCCCACTTGGTGCCGCATACTTGTCATCCCCTTGAGCAGAAGAGGTGGTGGTCACCTCCATAGCTTTAAGATGGAGATTGCTAACTAGTGACTGCCTCCTTGGGAACCCAGAAAGGAAGCCCACGTAGTTACCCCACGGAGAACAAAAGAGCAAAAAAAAAAACCGTCATACTCAATACACCAAGAAGAACCCATACAGGCAATCAAAGAAGATTGAGAGAGACGGCATAGAGAATGAGTAAAGAAAACTGGAGAAACCCTAAACCCTAACCGTCAAGGCTCTCATCGCGTGAATGAGAGAGCGACCCCAACTTATTAGCTTTTTTGTTTTGTTCGCTACTCTCGGTGAGTCCAAATCAATTCTTCCCTAATCTAATATCCTCTCCGTGTTACCTATTTTAATTATCGTGTTTTGTATTTAGTATTTATTATTATAAGTTAATAGAGTTTGGTTTTGTTATCTTGTGTTGGGTTTTGAAAGTCGAATTCAACAATCCTCGACTAGTTTATGAGTTTAAACAATTTTTTTTGTTGTGATCTGAAGCCAATTAGCTAACCAGTTCAAATTTATACTTTAAAAAATGCAATGGCAACAGACTGAACTGACATTTTTAAAAAAATGGAAAACGTAATAATGGAAGCTTTCGATGGAGGAGCAGAGAATACAGGCCTTTGGGAATACTCTTATATTTTTGATCTTTGGATTCTTGGATGGATGGTTCATGCTTCATGGTTGTTGATCTCATTAATTCCTAACAACATTCTTAAATATAGTCCTGTCCTCCGTTATTACATAATTAAATTTTACAACAGCCTTCTTTTTTGTTTGGTTTTTCATTTTTAATTGGCGCTTGTCAAGAGTAACCTACAAACACAAACATACGGCTGTAAATATATAGTCCATTTTTATTGAGGGATTCTTTAAATAATTTTATTTGAGGGACACCTTAAGGGTTCCTTACGAATTTTTTTTTTCAACGATCGAAACTATCTATTTTTTAAGTTTACATTCATAGATCATTCTTGCAAAAAATTAGACAAATCAAAAACTGTTTCGATATTCAATTGTGTCCTACAAAATCAATCAACACAGTGTTTTAAAGAAAGTACTAAAATTTCAATTATTCAATTGAGTAGTCAAATGGTATTGGATTCAAGTATTTTTTGTAGAGATAATCTACAAAATAGACGGTTTGGATTAGTAATATACAATACGGAGTGAGCCCTACAAAAATATGCCTCAAATAAACTAATTTGAGAAAACCCTTAATAGAAGCCCGCCCTCCGTGTGTGTGTATATATATACCTACCATACATGATCCATATAAAATATATATTGATTTTTCTCTTTGCGGGGTTGCAAAGTAACAATGAAATAATTAACACAGCAGCATTTCACATGGATGCCTGATTAATTTACACAGTTGACAGTGCATACTTTATCTTTGGGAGCTTTTGGGAGCTTTTGTTGCAACGCAAGAAAGAAGAAAGAAGAAAGAAGAAAGAAGAAAGAAAGTAGAAACAAACAAATAGTGCAGTTAATGTAATGTAGTACGGAAGCAGATGGCCATAAACTCTAATGATGGCAAAGGTAAA